TCTCTCTCTCTCTCTCTCTCTCTCTCTCTCTCTCTCTCTCTCTCTCTGTCTGTCTATTTCCACAGTTGCACCTGAAATCGATAAAACAATTTTGCGTGCGGCGAGCGGCGAAAATGAACGTGGTCGATTGCCATGCCGTGCACAGGCGGCCCCAACGCCAAAGTTCATGTGGACATTCAAAGGTCAAAATTTGAATGTGAATAAAACATGGAAATACAATGTTGAACTGAAACAAATTGATGCGCTGACCTTTGAATCGACGCTGCTGATCGAAAAAGTGGGCAAAACAGATTATGGTGATTATGAGTGCATGGCGCGTAATGAATTAGGATCATCAAAAGAGATTGTCAAATTGGAGGTAACATCCAAGCCCGACACACCGCTCAGCCTCAATATATTGAATACAACACATGATTCGGTGACGGTGGCATGGACGCCCGGCTTTGATGGCGGTATGAAAGCCAGCTATCGTGTACGCTACCGTGAAATGAACAGTGAACATTACAAATACGAGGATGGATTACCAAATAGTCACAAATTAACAATTACCGGCCTCAAAATGAATACGGTGTATTTGTTTTCGGTGATGGCATCAAATCAATTGGGAAACAGCAACTACTTACCGGATCTGACGAGAGCGCAAACTAAAGGTAAAAAATTTATTTACATACACAAACGCGCGCGTTCTGGTATACATTCATTGACGCGCAATGGTGGTGATGATATTATTTTTGGTTCTTTTTTTTTAAAATGTGGTTTTCATCTGTATTTCATCCTGCTGGATGGGCGGGCCTGCCTATAACCGTTATCGGCTATATTTTGTCGGTTTGATCGGCAAAAGGACGATTGGTTGCGACATTTGCATTTGTCGCAATTTCGTGACGATGCACCATCATCACCACAATACAAAAAAAAATAGTATTGCATTGATTGAACCGGGCCCCATAAATAAAATGCAATTTACATTGATCGATTGATTCAATTTTTCGGTGCCTCGCAGCATTTCGCCAAAAACATGAATTACAATTTTCGGTTGGTATGAAGCGAAAATTGCAATTGCAAATTGCAGTGCACTTGTATTCACACGGCATACATTCAAAGTGCACAGTGCACACTCATGCAGTCACGTATATGTGTGTGTCGTGTGTCGTGTGTGTAACACCACAGCAATCCGGAAAATATGAATCAATTCATCAAGCAAAAGGAAATCTCATTGTTTCTTTTTCGCCAATTTACCGGCGGCCCCATTCTCTATATCATTTTTGCTACACACACCCACAAATACTACAAAATGTTCAATATGCAACGATCGTTAACTAATTCACAATTATTTAAATAAATCCATAATTTCTTCTCTTTCTTTCTCTCTCTCTCTCTCTCTCCCTCTTTTCTTCCTTTGAAATAAATTTTTGCAACCGAATCACAATTTTTTCGTTGCTCGCCCCCATTTACACATATTAAAATAATATTGAATCCAATTATGATCGCAATAATCGTCATCGTGTCTCGCTTCAATTGGATGAATAAACTCGATTTTTTTTTCGTGTGTGCGCGTGTCGGGACACTCGTCGCATTGTTATTCGATTGGATGGTTGTTGTTGTTGTCATCTTGGTTGTTGAACCACCAACCACCGGTCAATAATGATTTCCACGCATAAATCACGGACACACACAAAAATATATGACCCAACGAACGAAATAAACAAATTTTTAACAATAAAATATGAAATGCGATTCTCGCATTAAATTCGATGAATATTGGATAAATTAAAATGAAATGAACGCCAACGAAAAAACACCCCATCCCATATCACCATCTATAACGTCGATTTAAACAAAACAAAAAAATGAACGAAACGCATCTCAAAAATAAATAAATAAATAAATCGAATGCGAAAATTTGTTGACAATATGCAAATAAAAATTGCGACAATACAAAAAAAAAAACAACAACACGACGATAATTCGCGACGTAAAAATAAACGAACTGCACCTGAATACGGTATTCTCTGGGCCTGCCGGAAATTTAAATGTAGATGCACCGCCGACAGGTCAACCGGCATCATCACTCGGTGGACCGCCAACAACGAGTACAACACCAACGCATGCTATCTCGGGCACATTACTGATTGTCGGCATTGCGTCTGGCACATCATTAGTGTTAATTAACATACTTATAATCGGATGTTGTCTTCACAAACGCAATACCAAACAAATCAAACGAGGTAAATGGTTGTAGCATTGTGCGTACGGCGGGGCAGCGACAATGGCAACGTCTGTGTTCGCACCCGTTCATCAAGTACTTTTCATTTTGAAAAAATGACGGTGAATAATTGAACGCTTGGCTGCCGAATGATTTTGAATGTGGAAAATAGGTTTCATTTGATGGGTGCATGACGTTTGTTTCCTCTGCGAATATTTTCTTTTTCATGGGTTTCGTTTGTTATTGTAGCTTTTATGCGATTCATTGACATTTCTCCGGCGGCAGCGGCCACTCAATCACCATTGAAATCTTTATTATTTTTAATTGTTACGTCTGGTGCTGAAGTGTCGAAAATGTTTTTAAAAAAAATCAAAATAATTTCATCATATTTATTGCAATTATAAGTTGAAAATTTTCCTTTTTTTTACGTTCATTTTTTTTAATTGATGTTTTTTTTCGTTTTTTTTTTCTGTTATATTTTTTCATATTTTAAAAGGAAATGATGTATTACCGGCTGAATTATTGGAAAAAGCTGAAATGCCAAAAGTGGTGTTTATCGGATTTGGATTGGCCGCATTACTCTGCTTGCTTTTGGGCAATGCAGCACTGTTTGCATGGTTTATTATTCGAAAACGTTCAAAAGGTTTGGCACAATTTTCAGTTTTTAATTGATTTTTAAGTTTTTGAGTTTTAATTTGATATATTTTGTGCATTGGTTTGACGCACACTGTTCATTCGGACGGTATTGGTCACCTGCTGCGGTGTGTGCCTGTGTGAATATGTCGAACATCGAAAATGGAAATAAGTGTCGGCCTCGAGTTGTAACATTTCAATCCAACAATGAAATTTAGTGTAAATGTTAAATGCATGTGTGTGTGTGTGTGTGTATGACACATCGGTATGAAAAGCATTAAATTTTATGAGATTTTTCTATTTTCTTTGGCAACCGATTTTCAAACATTCATTGTGCCACGCAAAACCCCCCAAACTTTTCTCATCAACTTTGGATTATTGCGTTGCACAATTGTGATTTAGCGTCAGTACCAAAAACTTCGTGGTTTTACTCTCTCTCTCTCTCTTTCTCTCTCTCACTCACTCTTTCTCACTCAAACATTCACTCACACTCTCCTTTGTCTTGTGGACAGACTACAAATCATAATTATATTGCGAAAGTGTACAAGTTTTTCGATTAAATGTATGCGAAAATATATGGGAGCATACATTCTTCTCCGTTTGCATGGCAATAAAACAAAATAGTTGATTGTGTTTTTTTTTGTGAATGAGTGAGTGAGCGGAGCAAACGAGAGGCGACAAAGAGGATATGAAGAAAAGCCAAGTCGACATGGTGTGGATGCCATTGAAATAGAGAGTGAATGAGTTGTAAAAGTTTCTTGTGTGCGAATTGCGGGCTCGATAGGAAGAATTAGAATGAGGAAGTTTTATTTCGAACGGTGACAGTTTCGTTCACAATTTATTTGTAATTATTTTATGAGTTCACAAAACGTTTTACGGTTTCTCGGAATATGTATGTGTTATTGATTGCGTTTTCCCCAATGTATTTTATTTGACGATGCAATGCCATGCTTCAATTATTCCATACACAGTGATTGAATGTACGGAAGAATGAATGAGTGTCATGTGTGTAAGTGAGTGTGTGTGTGTGTTCAGTGCAATGAATTTTCACTGTCATTTTTCTATTTTATTCTAAGCAATATTTATAACATTTCCTTCTTTTTTCTTTTTATTTTTGTTTTCGTGTGTTTGTGTGTTCGTTGTTTAAAATTCGAATATTCAGAAGCTTCGAATCAGAACAGTAAATCGGCCACCATTGAAATGTATGCACCGAGCTCATACAACGATACAGTAACCGGTGAAACGCTGTCAAGTGTATCGGAGAAAAGTGATTCATATTCGAATGAAGGAAGTCAACCCGATTATATGGTGAGTGGAGTCGCTGCTTTTTATTACTTTTATCGATTCGATCGGAGAAATTACAATTGAAATCCGACAGACAGATAGACAGACAAGAAAACCGAACTAAAAATCGAATTGAAACCAATCATATGGGCAATTAGGACGGGTTGGCTGCAAAAATTATTCAATCATTTTGATTTTTTGGTTAAATTGAGTGAACTGAACAGATGCCAATTTGTGATGTCAACAGTGTTACGCGGCCAACACTTGCACCACTACGACCACCACTGCCATCATTATCATCATCGCCACCAACACCATTCGTTCGAAGGAAAAACGCGCACCGATAAAAACTGTAATGGTTGCATGCGCACGCGAGATCCAACTTGCAATTTGGATCGTTTTGTTTTTTTTTTCGCGTCGATTTTCATGTGATGCAATGTGATATTACAAATTGGTGTCCATTGTTCTCTCAAGATTTGATGTCGGTGTGCAACTGAGATTTGGTTCGATTTTCTTTTTGCATTTCAATCGTTCGTTTTTCCGTTGTATTCTTTTTTCCTCATTTCTTCATAGCATCTCGTCCATTGATTTCATTTCATCTAATTCGTTTTTTTTTTCTTCTTTTTCAACTTTTCTGTGTGCTGTGCCAAAATAACGAACAAAAAACATCATTGCAGGATGAAACTCGTAAAAAGGCTGCATCAACGTATTTGGTAGAAAATTCGGATATTCCACCACCCCGTTATCAAAAGGATGGCACATTGCCCATGAATTATCCAAATAATACTGCAAACTCAGGTATGTCAATCAATTTCATCGTTTGCTGCACCAAAAACTCAACTATATATACACACTATCCATCGCTTCTTGTTCTCTTGCGCTTGCAATTTTCCCTGATTTTTTCGTTCATTTCTGCTTGAGTCAACGATAAAAAAAATTCCATTTACTCTGTGTGATATTCGCGCCGTAACCGGACGGACGAAGGAAAAAAAAGAGGAGGAAGATGCGATGACGTCGAAGTAGTAGCAGCAGTAAAAATCACTTGTCTTTATCGATTGTGCGTTTCTTGTGTGTCGCGTTCGACACTCCATAGTGCTTACTGTATATATGACACTTCGGCTCAAGTGTGGTAAATCTCAGCACTTTCCATTCAGCCTCAAACTGCCAGCGATTTGTGAAGCGAAGAGACGGCGAATGTCATGTGCACAATGTGTGCGCGCGTATCCGTCAATTGTTTTCCATTCTTTTTCACTCTTTTTCGCATTGATCTATGCTACTGATATGGCGATGACGACGACGACGACGTCGACGTCGGCACCATCGGCTGTTACTTTCCAGCTCATTTTCAATTGAAGGACAATTTATTCTTTTGATTTCTTTCTCTCGCCGGGTTTTTTTCTTCTCTTCATTCGTTTTCTTTCCGATTGTAACATGATACACTGGGATGATAGTGTGTGCGACCATTAGAAGCGCGTAAGTTGGAAACAATCAACCGCGCCGAAAAAAAGGTGCACACACACAAACTCAACGAAAAGTAATATTCGTTTGTATGTGTGTTGGCAGACGAAACGAATGGACTAGGAACAAAAACGGAAATGGCATCGTAACGATTGTCGATTTGTCAATGAACAATTTCTTTTATGGCAATTATCCAAAGCATTTATGGACTCTGCGTTTTTGTATCCAGCCGTTTTATTTTTGCTTTTAGCACAGTTGTGGCCATCGCGCTCGTTCACTCGCTGCTGTTATTGTTAAGCAATCCTCTTATTAATTTGTCACAAACAAACAATGCACTATTGTTAGTCACGGCTGAAGCCACACTTTCCTCCCCCATCAAATCTCAAGTTTCATTTTTCAATAAGATGGTGTCATTTCCTTTGAAAGTCACCACACTCTGGTTTGAGCCGTGAAACGCATCCGACTGCAAGGGTCGACGTAAAGCGAGAGAAAAACATCCACTTGTCGTAGTGACAAGAGAAAAAAGAAACCCACAAATGTCTTAAATTAATGATTTGTTGATTGTTTTTGCAGTGAATACGCGGACATTGCCACATCCACGGCACAATAGCCACGTTATCGATCCAAGAGCACGCGACGATCAAATGCTTGGCAAAGGATACATGCCATCACCATCACCAGCATTGCCATTGGACGGATCTTACTATAACATGAACAGCGATCGTTATTTATCGTATCCACCAATGGTAAGGAAGATCAATCTGTTATAGCTCGTTGAATATACCTTTATTCCCATCTGTGCCGAGGTTCAAGGTTCAAATCAATATTTTTCTTTCCCTCTCTCTCCCTCTCTCTCTCTCTCTCTCTCTCTCTCTCTCTCTCTCTCTCTCTCTCTTATGTAGGATTATCCAAATGTGGAATTTTCAACGCCACCATTACAAATGACTCACATAATGCCAATAAATGGTACGATTATGAATGCGGGCGGCGGAACATTACGACGTGGTATGCGCGCCATGGTACCACCGCCGGATGTAACGCATCACACAACAAACCATTCAAAGTCCACACACGATCTAAACAATTCGATGAATCAAAATGTTTCACAGCAAACACTAAATAATCATAGTAATAAGTCATCCCAATTATCATCAAACAACAGTAGCATGACCACATCAACGAAACAACCACCGGGTATTTTAAAAGATCCTAATCGTAAGTAGACAAAATGCGGCCAATATGTGTGTGTGTGTCTGTGCGTGATAAATATTAATTGAATTATTTTATTTCGTTTTGTATTTAGGTAAGCAACAGCAACAGCAGCAGCAGCAACAACAACAACAACAACAACAGCAGCAACAGCAAATGCTTGCCCATCCAAATATGCAAATATTGAATGTGCAAAATGCGCCCGGCATCGGCAACAGCTTGTTGATGACCAGCAGCGGTAGCACAATCGGCGTTGCCACCTACGAACCAAATCCGCATAATTTAAGTTCATTCAACGCTTCAATGGGCTATACAGATGCTGACGGTCATCTCGTGTGAATATTTCACTAAATTTAATTTTAAAATTAAAATGTTATTGCTTTAGATAAAAGAAGAATGAACACAAACCCAACAAACCGATTAAAAATGAAATAGCCAACGTGCGTGGTACGCTTGATAGCAAAACACGAAACATTACAAAGATACGTATTTAAGAACAAAAACAAAATATATTTGTGAGATTAAGTGGGACAACAAGAAATTGAGAAAGTTTGCGCCAACAAACAATGTTGCTTGAGTGCGAACACGTCGGAGTCAACCGACATTCATATATACATCGAACGATTTCAGTTGAATTATTATAAAAAACAAAATAGTGCGCATCAGTTGAATGCCGCACAAAACAGATGAGAAAAAAAAAATACAATACTATTTTATGCCCACTCAAATTGTCCATCCCTATACCTATTTACTCTATCCCAGTGTCAACTGTGACTGAAAAACTCATCATTTTATTACTCAAGAGAAGAAAAAAAACACACACACACAAAAACATAGCTTTCCATACATTCATTTCAATCTTAAACGTATTTACTAGAAATTCTTCTTGTAGAACACAAAACAAAATATTCATAAGAAATGAAATATTATTATTAACATAAATGCATTTGATCAAATCTCAATCGAGAAAACCAATTAAGTAACGTTCTACGGAAAATGAAAACTATATTGTCTCAAAATGAATCAGGACGCCACATAATTGAACTAAACACGTGAAAATCAACAACTCAAATGATAAGAGATTTAAAAAAAAGAAGTGAAAAAGTCTGTCTATGGATTAAGATTGTTGGCGAATGGGGCCATCGAGTCAATCGACGACGACTTAAACATAATAATCAATTCATTAGGTGGATCGAATAAAAAAGAAAACCAAACATGAACAAAAGAAAATAATCTAGCTAAAAAATGAAGTAAAAAAGCATACGACAAAGAAAAACTCATTAATTGTTATTATCCCGTAAGACTAATTACAATTGGAAATAATTGGAATTTTCTATTTTAAGTATGAATCGTAATCAAAAGGAAATTCTACGACAAAAATCGAACAGACAAAACAAACAAACAGAATTTTCATGCCAGTGAACGCAGCGATTAATTTTTTGTTTTGTTTCGAACGATTGTTCCGTTTTCTTTCCCTTTTTGACCGAAACAAATCGCCTTTGAGAAGACCGAAGAAAATCCCACAAACAGTGATCTAATCACATCACTGCCGTGGTCACTACCGAATATTTGGTTTTTAGATCAATTTTAATTCTGGATTCCTTTTTTCTTCCAGTTTGAAAAACGAAAATTCATGGAAAACCAATTCATTTTAATCTACACATACACACAAAGGAAATAAAGAAATAGTTGAGATTTTATTCACGTTTACGTCTTGTGTGAACATGAACACGGCGATCGAATGACTGTAAATAAAATTTAAGGGAAAAAACACATAAAAAATGATTTAAAAAAAAAACAACAACATAATAATTAAGAAGAATCTAGTTTTAGAATGAAATTCAATTTTTGTTAGTGGTTCGATTGACTAAAATCGATGTTGAAAGAAGAAAGAGCGGTTATGCGATAAAAAAAAACCGCCCACAAAAAAAACACAACAACTAAGCTAATCAATAATCTGTACATAGTAATTTAACTCAATTTTTTTTAAACAAATAAATTAATTAAAAATTAAAAAGAAAAAATTCGCAGGAGACAGTGGAATGGTATATGTTTTGGTGTGTATCAGAAAGAAAGAAAAAAGTATGCGATAAAGCGCACATCCAAAGAAATCACCAAAATATACCATCCCATATGACTGTTCTCCAACCAAAAAAAAAAAGAATGATGAAACAATGAAAAACAAAATAATCAAACGAAACTAATTAATTACTCAATTTTATGATTTTTAAGTTTTAATTTGTTCTATTTTTTTTGTCTTCTTTTCGTTTAAATTCGTCGTCGGTGTCGTTATCGTTATCGTCGTCACATACACACAAAAAACAAACACACACAATTCATTTAAAGAAACACACACACACACACACACTTACTAATTCAAATTGATACAAGTAAATGGATTACATAATTTTTTCGTCTCTTTAAAGTCATGTTAAAAAAATATTTTAGATATATATTAAAAAGAAATGAATTGAACGGATGAGTAAAACAAATGATAACTATTCTAATCGATAGAATTTAACTCATAAAATATTTAAAGAAAAAAAAATGAAAGAAAAAAATCACGACAAAAAAATATATATGAATGAATTAATGATTGAAATTATATTTTGCGCATGGCTAATTGAAATACACAATGCAAATGGGTAAATCGAGAAAAACAAATTCAATCAATCAAACTTTTAAGGGATAACGACGCAAAACTAACAAATTGTCATTTAAAAAAAAAATTTCCTCTCTTCCGTTCCACATTTCTCCGTTTCGTCCCGGAATCGAACCGGACACACACAAACACACACAAACACACAATTTTGCAGAGAGCGTGCATTCAAGCCTTTCTATTTCTTTCTTCTACATAAACAACCTTTTCCTCTCTCTCTCTCTCTCTCTCTCTCTCTCTCTATTTCTGTCCGTATTTATTCGTAATTTATAAGTTGAACAACGTTTGTCACATGCAGTAATGATCTCACCCCGCTGAAATATGCACCATGGTGTCACTTAAATTTATCAGTCAAATTGCTCTTATACTCAACTGTAACCGAACAAAAAAAAACCGTTTCACTTTCATTTGGTTCGAAGATTTGATTGCAACTTCACCCCACGCTGTAAATCGTTCCGATTCGTTTGTGTGCGAAAAATTAAAATTGTGAGCAAATCAATGTGCATTTGTCATTGTCGACGTGCGAGGGCGTGCGCGCCGGAAATGCCAGATGGAAAATTGATTCAAAAACCGGCATTTTTCCACGCGATTAAAGTGTTTAACGTTGTCTTCCAATTAGCGAAATGCTCTCCCATCATATAATTATTATTATGATGCATCGATAATCAAAAGCTCATCAGTTTTAATCAATCGAAACGAGTCGAAGAAATGAATTGAAAGTGGTTTCTTTAATTGCCCATCTTTAAAGAAAAAAAAAACTATCCATTCAGCGTTGTTGATCACATCCAACGAATTTTGTCTTATTTTTTTGTGTGTCTTCACCTCTCTTCCTCCTGTTTTCAGCCAACGTAAATGAAACATAAAAACAATCGCCAATTTTTAGATGAATTAAAAACAATTGTTGCCAAAGATACAATCTGTTATTTGTAATGAATAGTATGAATATATTGTGTGTCTATAAAATTGGATTGATAAAAGAGAAGAAAAAAAACATGTCGAAAGAAAAAAAAAACAGCAAAGAGATTGAAAATGAGCATATTGAATAAGACTCTTTTTTTATTCTGAACGGTTGAGGGCAAACGTAATACAGTGAACACACACACTACCCACACTGGACTCTTTTAATTTTTAACAAACAAAAAACAACAACCGAAACAGATCAATTGTGAAAATAACAATTAAGATTAAAAGGCAATAGAGAATTTTTGTTCTTTTTTTTTCAACTTGCTCGATTACATATATACATCCATCACCTCCAAATAACTTTTTACTAGTATATAAGTTTATTTTCACTTTTAATTTTCTCTTTTCTTTTTAAATTTTCCTTTTCTTCTTCTTAATTACAATTAATATCGAACACGACTCAAATGAATTTATCTTTAGCATTATAGTTATACAGAGAAAATTATGAACAAAAAAAAAAATATATAAAATTAATGTTTATAGTTAATAACCAAATGTTGTTTTTATTTGAGTTTCTCGTTGATTTTGGCTTTTGTTTTTTTTTCTCTTTCCTTTTTTTGGTTTATTTCATCAATTCGATCGATCGGACAAATGGTTGCTGCTTATTTCTTATGTAATTGCTTATTTCTGTTTGAATTTGTTCTTCTTGGTCACACATACTTTGTTTTGAATCATACGACTTCCGTTTTTTGTTTCTGGTGATCAATTGGTCCCAACGAAATGCACAACTAAAAATATTCGTGTCGTCTCCAACTCTCCATACTTTGCCACAGATTTGCTCACCATAAGAGAATAAAATGTGAACAAAAAATAACTAACGGTTTGTCGCTGAGAAATGTTTTGTACATAAAACTGCTACCATACGCACCCACCATGCAATGTTCCCTATATTTGATTCGATACGACTTACATGTAGAAAAATAATGCAATTTTCATCATTTTTTATCCACACTTTTCTTTTTTGAACAATTGTACAGTTTACAGGAGATCAAAACCTTTCACAACAGAGACAAAATTGCATTTTTAAGCTCAATCAAAAGTAACGACTTGAAAGGTTTAGGACCTGAACCAAGGTGAAGGTGAAAAAAAAAATCAACTGTTGGCGATTTTACGCAAACGATCAAAATGTTAATGTTAATCAAAATAGTTTGGGAAAAATCGCCCTCGAATCAATAGAACGAAGCAACTTTTTTCGTGCCCAAAAATTCTCTCTACTGTTCATGAAAATTTGAATATGACTTTCGACAGGATATAATTTACTTTTCTATCTAGAAGTTGTGGACCACAACATTTTAGTTCACTTCCAAAAAAATGACGAAATTTCCCATTCACACGTTGTGTGCGAAAATGAAAAGTCCATCTTATCCAACATTTGTTGAATTTCATTACTTGTTTTTAAAATTCAAATATGAATTTCACCAAATATTCCTGGTTCCAATAAGCGAATGTTTAGATAATTCTGTTGTTGCCTGATTTCGTTTACATATTAGCGATGAATCGCTGGTGTAAGAAAAGAGAGAAGAAAACCGACAACACTGTAAAATTATGAGAATATTAAGACACAGGAACAATGAATTTTATCAGCTTAAAATTTGACAGACAAACAAATGAACAAGATATCAATTAATTAATCGTGCATGTAAATAAAATGAAGGGCGATAGAAGAAGATTGGTTTGTCCACCTGTGTGAATGGAGTGAATGTCAAGCGACACAAACACTCACACACAGAGAGACACACACAAAAATGGAGTCGCCGTACCGTGTTGTTCATTCCGTTGTGAGCCTAAGCTACATGGAAGTTGTGAGCATCTAAGCGGTTTGTTGTTCATATAGAGGAATACAGCGTGTGTGTACACACGTTAGATCAAACGAGATAGAACCGTTTAAATTATGGCATATGTGTAAATATTTCTCAAGTAGTTTCGATATAGTAAAATAAAAGAAAAACAACAACCAGTATCATTTCAGTTAGGTTTTAGTCTCTCTTTCGAATCTCCAAAAAGAACAAAAAAACCGTAAAACAATCATTCCAAGTATTAAAAATTATTTCTGTCTTTCTCCTGCCCCTCCTATCCTTGAATGTAAACTATAATGCCAAACACACGCGCTCTGTCTACAATTTATCTAAGTTTCGAATCAAGTGAGAGTTACTGAATTGAATGAACAATTTCAATGAAAAACCAATAATTTAGATAGACATTTGTAGATAAATATAAATAAAGTAAACAAGAAAGAAAAGCGGAATAGACAAAGAGCAGTAAAAAGAGTTAGAAGATGATGATGAACAAGAAAGAAAAACAAAAATCACAAGAAAATACGTGAATCAAGCGACTCTCATAGGTTGGAAATGTTGCATTCATATGCAGGAAAAAAAACAACAAATAAAAACCAGATGAAACCGCCTAATTTTGACGAAAATGCCCCCCACTTCAAAATTACGGCAATTTCACATTGAATAATAATTAATATAAAGTCCATCCTTTTTCGTACGATAACAATGACAAGAAAAACAACAACAAAAACCAAATTATATTAAATATTTATGAATATATTATATATAAATATATAAACCAAGCAGAAAAAAAAAACTATTAAAAGATATTATTAACTGTATTTAATTGATGACGAAATTATGGAGAACTACCGAAACATTGTCCAACACAAAACTGATGGACGAAGAGAAATGAGGGAAAAGAAAAACAAAGACGCCGACAAACTAATTAAAAATTTACAAATTATTTGTGTCAAATATTTCTTAAAAATTAATAAAAAATTGATGAAAAATTGGACATTTGGCTTATACTTTTATTTTATTCTTTCATGGGAATGAAGTGAGACTTTTTCATTTGGTTTGTGTCGATATTTGACACAAATTGACATCTTCTGTGTTGAGATCGACAGATCGACCTACTTGTCCTGCAGAAAGATCCTCCTAGAAGAGAGTCCCGCATTGGATTCCGATGTATGAAGCATCAATGGATCGACCACAAAAATGTTTGGGATATGACTGGCTGGTGGTAGACTGGTAAATGTAAACACTTCAACACTTAAAAATTTGGAACATTTTTCTGTGCATTTTATTGAATTTCATGTTACTTTTCAGACTCTTTGCATCTTTTTTGTATAAATTTCATCATTTCTGCTCGGCGATATCAATTTCATTTCACTTTTCGACGAAAAAAAAAATGGGTAAAAAGGGAAAAAGAATTAAATTGTAATTGAAATTCATCTTCAAACCGTTTGGTGTTTGGGAAAAAAAATTTATTGGAAAAACCATCGAAAATGGCTAATAACGAACGCTTTCAACAGATGATCATTCAAACGATCATTTTCGCATTTTGCCTATTCTAACTAACTGTAACGTTCATAAACTGCAATACGATACAGAGCATTTGTTCAAATGCAATACGATACAGAGTTCAAATAAACGAGTTTGCCATATTTTTGGATCAAATGATATTTTGTCGAACAAGTGTGGCTGTCTATTTGGTTCGCTGTATTGATGTAGTTGCTGCCCAGCGTTGCTCTTTGAAAACACCGAGCATTTTGGTGGAAAAGCGTTTTCAAGTTGATTGTCAGGATTTACTCGACCTAAGTACACCTATGGACGGTTCTAATCGTTGCCATGGAACACATTTTCTACTTGAACCAGCGAAAGATGAAAAAAATAAGTAAAATGAAAGGAAACAAAAAAAAAGTCGAGCCGAAAACAAACGTTTAAATTATAGATGCATTCGACGGCACGTACAACAAAAGCAGTGGCGGCGACGGCAATGACAACACACTGCTATGCTATAGATATACAAAGTGTTGTGTGTATTTATAAATAAAACATCAAGACACACGGCACACATTTGTATATGCACACGCAATTTTCGCTGGCTGTGCACACACATCGATTGCTGACGAACGATGGCTAACAAGTAATAGTGCGTGTTGTAAGTTTTAGCGAGAGCCTACGTGAACTTCGGATGCTTGTTTGTGGCATCGGCGACGACGACGTTGTTGTTGTGTTGTGTTGAGTTTTCCATTTGAATGTTCTGTTGTTTCGGTTTTTTGTTCGACGACACCGTGTGTTTGTTTGTGAGTTTTGTGTGTGCACAACGAGAAGGGCATTTGCGGAAAAGTGCACACCACACCAATCGAGTGGCGAATATTTTACGTACGTTGTATCTGTCTGTTTTTCACTCTCTTCTTACAGCGTATATATATATATACATTCATTTTCGCACGGTTGGGTCGTGCGCTTTGTTGTCTACTTGTATGTGTCGGCTAAAAACTAACTCGGAAAATTGCTGCTGCTCCACTACAACACTGTCCCGTGTATTTGAAAGATATATACAGAGCGTGCCGCCGAACATTTTAAGCCAAAGGGAAAAAAAAGTCGAATGAATTTAGTATGTTCGAGGCTGCAATAGAAAGCGTGTCAGACCACCGTCTCATATTGTAAGAAACGATTTTTGTTGTTTATCGCTCTCGCCTGATTTTGAATAGTCCGCTCGGTTTCTTTCACACACGATAGTTTTTTTTTTCTCTTTTTGCTAGTTCGCCGTCTCGTTTTATTCTGTCGAATCCGGTTTGAGCTTTTGCTGCAAATCCAAATTCAACACAGCAAATAGTGTATTCAGTTCAGAGAGAAAAAAGACATTTAATTGATTTTCCAGTGTGAGAATTTGTATTTAAGATAGACTTTTGTGTTCATGTTCTTCTTTCGGTTGTTTCTTAAATTGTGGTGATTGAATTCATATTTGGATTTCGGTTGAGTTCGATGGAAACGTTCGTATAAAATACGAGCTGCGCGCGTATTTCGTGTGTGCGCGCACAGTATATATTAATCCATCCATATATCTATATCGTTTGTGAGTGAGTATTATTAGTTTGTCTCAGGCGAAACGGTGCGTGTGTCCGAGTTATTGAAAGCGGTTGCGGGTCGTCACAGATTTGCTCGAATGCAATTTCAATAGATTTCATTTACCTCATTTTGAATAAAATAGAAGGAAAAAAAAAACACACACACAATTTTTTTCGTTCGATTCGCGGCCGAATGTTTGTGTGCACGCGCGCATTGTACGTGCGTGTATCTGCTCACATATAGTGGATGCACAACTGAAAGGACAAAAAAGAAATGCTGTTGCATCGACGACGATGAAATCAAATTGAATTGAATTCAGTGATACACATTATGGGATTATGTGGCAATCAAATTAAATGCACCACTATCAACTCTCTATCTCTGTCTGTGTGTGTCGCACCATATCGATCAACCGAATTTTATTTATGATGATTTTAATCGATCGGGAGGAATTTCGATTGGACTGTAGCAACGACAAAATCGACAAGATGAAAAACAAAATCGGGCGTTTCGTCTAGCGCTCTCAATTTCGATGTGAATCGGAAATGGACTGTACAAAATTGCAATTGAAATTTTCTTTCATTCAACAAATCCGGCTGATGTGGCAACGTGCTTGAATTCGGAATGAGTTTCATTTATTTTACTTTCGCTCTCAATTCCGATTCGGTTTGTTGAAAATTTATCCAAATTCTGAAAGTAAAACGAAAACTATTCGGGAATTTCTATGACAGAGAAAGTGAGCAAGTTTGTGTGTGTGTGTGTGTTTTGGGCAATGATGATTTCACCGGGGCCTCGAATATTATTTTCGACGTTTAGCTCAATGCCAAAAATATCTTGTAAAACTCTCGTAAGACACACTCTCATTCTTCCGTTACTCACACGCGAGCTCACTCTCGCAATCGCTCACTCTTGCACGCTGTGTAGTGGCTCTTCGTTTCTCTCTCTCTCTCTCTCTCTCTCTCTCTCTCTCTATCTATCTCTCTCCGTCACGATTAGCGTATTTTTACAAGCTGATCATTGCGAACGTGTGTGCGATTTACTTTTGCTATGCGGCACACACAGACCACTGTGCGTACGTACACTTTTATTTCGACAAAGGATTATCTTTCGACCGCATAAGCAAACTGCACGTGCGTTCCGAAACGCTGTCCGACTCGCTGAGTCTGTGTTTTTTTTCCTCTTCGCTCGAGCTTTGAGCGCGTATTGGTACAGAAACGAAAGTTATTTCATCAAGACACTAGAAGAAGAAAGAGAGAGAGAGAGTGAGCGAATGGGAGAGAGAGGCAGAAAAAGAAGAAGAACGAATGAACGAACCGAAAAGAATAACATTATAAATATTTGAGAAATGAAACGCAACCTCATATGTAATCAATGTATTACTTAACAACGTCGCCCGTTGATCCCTGCGACTTATCACTGTAAATCTGTTTCGGTTTCAAATGGATGAAATCAAACACCAACAATCTTTGGTGGAAGAAAGAAAGGAAAGAGGAAAGAAGGGACATGAAACGCGGCGTACATGTGTGCATTCGGAATTAAAAGACATGCTTTTTCATTACTTTTACAGTAGGTCCAAGGCCAAGTTTGAAACCATTGCATACTGACTTTAATGCGGAAAAGTGGCCAAGACGTCTTTGCTCTTAATTTTTTAAGTGCTCAATTTTTTTTCAGCAAAAATTCCGCATTTAGAATGAAATTATTCAGTTTAAAAGCTTTATTACTTGACATACCCATTGATTACTCTTGGCCGCTTTTTCACCTCTATATATTTGTACATTTTTCGATGGAACATATTATTCAATCTTTCTGGTGTGGAAAGTTTAATTATTTAGCATGCAAAAAATGAACAAGCTGGGAGAGGTAGAGGCAGAGCGAGAGAGAGAGAGAGAGAGAGAGAGAGAGAGAGAGAGAGAGAGAGTGAAAGAGAGAGAGAGTGAAAGAGAGAAAAGGAGAGATTTGGACAGAAAATGAAGACAAAAACATAAACACACCGAGAGAAGCGAGAGATTCCAAGAGGTCATAATACATATTAACGCTCCAAAAGCAATGACGTTATGATTGTATACACAAGAGGAAAACGGAAAATTGACCTTTGCTCACGTTTTATCCGAGTTCAAGTTCGCTCCCTCTCATGGTTGTATTGCATGGAAAAGTGGCCCCTGTTTTCATGACTTTTCTATGCTTATGGTGTCAAGGAATTTGGGAGTGTATGTGTGTGAATGTGTCGTATACAATTGAATACTCTGTTGAATGGTGCCTTAGATTCGTTGATAATAATATCTGTTGTTCTATTTGTTCAACACTTTGTTTGGCGTTAATTTGTTTGTTTATTTTTCTTTAGCATTTGAGCATATGAAACAAAAGACCATATAGTTTGGAGAAATTTGCTCTAATTTTTATTTTCGTGCATTATTTATAAAGAAAAACTTCAAATTCATTAAAAAAAAAATTTAAATTTGATTGTAAACGTTCATTTTTTTTCTCCCGAAATTTCAGCAAGTCTGATAAAAGTTCTATGTGGCGTGTGAATAAAATTGTGAGAGAGTGAGAGAGAAAAAGGGAGAAGAATAACGCCAAAACGAAAAAAATCAAGTTCCAACTAAAAAAAAGAGAGAAGAAACCAAACCAAAAAAAAGTGTCCAAAACCGTGTGGTTATCGACAGTGGAAAAGAATCAATTAATTTAAGTCATGCCTAATCATTTTGCGCCGAATGGTAATTAGCCCCGGAAATAAAACCAAAATAATCTTATCAAGTGTCAACAATTTCCATCCCGCCTAATGTAAAAGTTCACATGGAATTTCGTTGTTTCAAAACCAAATTAAAATAAAAAAAAGCCCAATTCCTTAATCGAAAAGTATAGCGGTACGAAGAAAAAAGCAAAAAACATTTACGAATTAAAGTGAAGTGAGTTTGACGTTCAGCTGAACAATGGCTGAAGCGGAAGGAGGATCGGAGCAGGATGATGTCTCGTTCTTGCGTACGGTGAGTAAAACATTTACACGGAAAATTAAATCATAGTTTTTTTCTCGAAAAAGAGAACATCAATTCGAATGGATTGATTGAACGGAGCAAGAGGTCATTTGAATAATTACATTACAGGAAGACATGGTGTGCTTATCATGCACCGCCACCGGAGAACGTGTCATGCTTGCGGCCGAAGGTTTTGGCAATCGTCATTGTTTCCTCGAGAATATTGCCGATAAAAATGTGCCACCCGATTTGTCGCAGTGCGTGTTTGTCATCGAACAGGCGTTATCAGTGCGTGCATTGCAAGAATTGGTCACGGCCGCTGGTTCCGAATCGGTATGTATAATCGTTCGCATTCTTTTATCATTTCATCAGCCGAACCGAACACATACATTCAAAAAAAAAATGATCGACTCCAAATTTCTTTGCGCTCAAATGGATCTGTGAACAATTATTATTATTAATATATTATTTCTTATGTCACCTTCTGTCTGTGTCTCTTTCTGTTTCAAAAACATTGGCTTGCATTTTATTCACGGTGTGAATCTCATCAAATGTACCAATTCGAATAATGCGAATTTTGAGATACAAAAAAAGAAAGATGAAAAAAAGGGAAAAAACAAAACATTTTTGTGTTTAATTTTCTTTTTTTCGTTTTCGAATTGTTTCACACACTCTTGAGCTAGTATTTTTGTATTGTTCATTGATTCATACGGAAAATTCGTCGTACGACGGGAATGTGTTCAATCGGATTTGTGGTGTCGGTTACATCAAAAATCAGCTCGAAGCACACACACACACACACACCCAACAAAAAAAAACACGTTCGGTACAAATCTAGTTGGGCAACGATACAATTATAGATATATTCAGAGAGTTTTCGAGAATGAAGAATGAATGAACAACGTACAGAACGAACAAAAAAAAAACAAGGGCTCATACAAAAGAAAAAAGCCATTGCAAACGAGAGTGTTGAAATGAGGAAGTTTGTACAATAGAAGAGAGGAAAAAAGCAAATCACATAAACACGTCAAATTTGCACATAAATCTTTGGCAAAAATCAATTTTTAGACTAATTTTATGGAGCACTTAGTTGAATTTATGCATTATTCACCGTAACCGAAATTAGTGTATAATAAAAAACAAAATATGAAAATTAGCAATCGTAGACGATTTTCGCACACATTTTTAATTTTCAAATGAAGAAAACAAAAACAGATTTCAAACTATTATTTCGTTTCGTTTAATACACCAACACTGAAAATGATGTATAACTCTTTGTCTAAATCACATTTGTGATTATTACAGGAGGGTGAATCGTTAGTGAGTATATCGACACTAAACATATTTTCTCGTAGATTAGATTTTTTTCTTGAAACAATCAATTGAATCAATTTTCTTCCCGCCCGTTTGCTTTGGGATGGCTTTTCGTGGAGCGATTTCTTTTCGTTATCGATTCATAACCCCTCGATTGATATGATTAGCACCCCGTTTTCTTCCCATGTTGAGCTTGATGATGCGTGCTTGTGGTGCATATGATTTAGCTTTTATGCACCAATTTGATACAGCAACCGCTCAATTGACTCGCATATTTGTAGTTGGTTTTTAGCACATTATGCTTCTTCTTTGCATTTTGCACAATTTTCACTGAATAACGTTGATTCCATTGATTCGGGGAGTGCCTAACGGCTATACAATCAAACAATCCTTTATCTAAGCCGTGCGTTGATACACCTTTTGTTTCGAAATTCAGATTATCCAACCATTTTCAAAATTATGCCACATTCAAACGAACTATGATGATCATTAATCATGCAATATCGAACAAAGATTGAAACGATTGTTTGACCAATGGCATTTTCAATTGAAATAGCCTACATTCCATACATATGCATGCATTTCACACGGTTCAACTAATTTTTTTCTAAACAAAAAAATTCTATGTAGTACACCTAAAAATGTAGCAAATATTTTGCTGAAAACAATATCCAAGCTGCGTCTCTATGTCTATACCATTTACATTCAACTTTAATAAGCCATTTGTCTAACCATTCTTGAATCTCCTCCTCCCCAATATTGGTTCTTCACACCGACAAATAACAAATGTTTATGCATTCCAAACAGGGCAAAGGCACTGGATCTGGTCATCGAACGCTACTTTATGGCAATGCAATTCTTTTGCGTCATCAGAACAGTGATATGGTAAATAAAAACACATTTTCTACATTTTTTGTTGTATTTTCTGAAACAATGCATTTTTCTGTTTCATTTTTTTTTGTTTCCAGTATTTGGCTTGTTTGTCGACGTCTTCATCGAACGATAAGCTATCCTTTGACGTTGGTTTGCAGGAGCACAGTCAAGGCGAAGCCTGTTGGTGGACTGTTCATCCAGCCAGCAAACAACGTTCAGAAGGTGAAAAAGTTCGTGTTGGTGATGATTTGATTTTGGTCTCTGTTGCCACCGAACGTTACTTGGTATGCACCACTTTTTGTTTGCCTGGCCAAACAAAATGTTTTCATTGTCCCTATAATGAATTCGTTAATTCTTCAGACTATAAAAAAATAATTCACGTTTTTTCCTCAACAAAATTTCAGCACTCAACGAAAGAGAATGACCAATCGATTGTAAACGCTAGTTTCCATGTCACACATTGGTCGGTACAACCGTATGGAACTGGAATTTCGCGCATGAAATACGTCGGTTTCGTATTTGGTGGTGATGTCTTGCGATTTTTACACGGTGGCGATGAGTGTCTAACGATACCGGGAACATGGTCAAGAGAACCCGATCAGAAGTAATTTCCAATTTGAAACAGTTTTGTTCTTTTCATTTGTTTTTTCTTCGATTAAATATATAATTTCATTGAATTACAATGAATTTGAATAAAAAAAATTGAAATGATTTTCCTTCCAATTCGTCCATTTGTAGCATTGTGATTTATGAAGGTGGTTCAGTTATGTTACAAGCACGATCGCTATGGCGTCTCGAACTTGCGCGCACCAAATGGTCTGGCGGTTTCATCAACTGGTGTCATCCAATGCGAATTCGACACATTACAACCGGTCGATACTTGGGTGTGAATGAAAATAATGAGCTTTGCTTGGTAATTAACTTTCGTTGAACGTTTAAATTCGATCGAATATTTCTATGGAATGAGCACACAATTTAATCATGGAAAATTGAAAAAAAAAATGCTCGTTTAGGTGAAACAACAAGATGCAAGCATCGCAGCCACAACGTTCCGTCTGAGACAGTCAAAAGATGAAGCGATCAAGGATAAGCTTGAGGACAAGGACTTAGAGGTGATTGGTGCTCCAATCATTCGATACGGTGACACAGCTGTCATTCTACAGCATTGCGACTCCGAACTGTGGCTCAGTTACAAAAGTTACGAAACGAAACGGAAAGGCGTTGGCAAAGTGGAAGAGAAACAAGCCATTTTACACATTGAAGGTAAAATGGATGATTTTCTTGTTTTTGCGCGATCGCAAGAGGAGGAATCGAAAACAGCACGAGTTATTCGAAAATGCAGCAGTCTATTCACAAAGTTCATTAAGTAAGCATCGTTTTGGTATTTTATCGATAAAGAACGAGTGGATGTGAACGTCAGTTGTTTCGTATTCACCACGAAACCAATTGTTCATTGTAAATGATAAATGAAAAATTCTAAATTCATTTTACGTTTCAGTTCATTGGAAACATTGCAACAAAACCGTCGTCATTCGATGTTCTTCCTGTCAGTGAATTTAGGCGAAATAGTCATGTGTTTAGAGGATTTAATCACTTACTTTTGCCAACCGGAAGATAATATGGGTTTGTATCTATACGTTTGCATTCAATTTCCCAACGGGAAAAATTCTGTATTCATTCAATCGTTCGAAATTGTAGAACACGAGGAAAAACAAAACCGTTTTCGTGCCTTACGCAATCGTCAAGATCTGTTCCAAGAAGAAGGTGTTCTGAATCTCATTCTAGAGGGCATCGACAAAATGAATGTGATTACATCACAGGGTTTTTTGGCCGGTTTTTTGGTTGGCGACGAAAGTGGCACGAATTGGGATTTGATTACGGGATATTTATATCAATTGTTAGCGGCTATCATCAAGGGCAATCACACCAATTGCGCCCAATTCGCCAATACAAATCGATTGAATTGGCTATTTTCACGGCTGGGCTCGCAAGCATCGAGCGAAGGATCCGGTATGCTTGACGTATTGCATTGTGTATTGATTGATTCACCGGAAGCATTGAATATGATGCGAGACGAACATATCAAAGTTATCATCAGTTTGCTTGAGAAGCACGGCCGTGATCCAAAAGTATTGGAGGTTTTATGCTCACTGTGTGTGGGCAATGGAGTTGCTGTACGTTCGTCGCAAAATAACATTTGCGATTATCTATTGCCCGGCAAAAATTTGCTGCTTCAAACGCAGCTAGTCGACCATGTGGCGAGGTAAGCAATGAATTTCAAAGTAAAACTTAGTTCTATTTCAATAGCAAATCCCGAAATGATATGAAAAATGCAATGAAATTGAACTATATTCGCAGCATTCGTCCAAATATTTTTGTGGGTCGTGTTGACGGCTCGGCAACATATCAAAAATGGTATTTTGAAGTGACAATGGATCATATTGAGCAAAAAACGCACATGACACCGCATTTAAGAATTGGTTGGGCCAACACAACGGGATATGTGCCATATCCGGGTGGTGGCAAGAAATGGGGCGGCAATGGTGTTGGCGATGACCTGTATTCATTTGGTTTTGACGGTGCATTTCTTTGGACCGGCGGCAAAAAGACGGCTGTTCTCCAGGATATACCGCTTGAACCGTACATTCGCAAAGGAGACGTTATCGGCGTTGCACTTGACTTAAATGTGCCCATCATTTATTTCACATTCAATGGCCTCAAAGTGAAAGGAACGTTCCGTAATTTCAATCTCGATGGAATGTTCTTCCCAGTCATGAGTTGCTCATCAAAACTCAGGTAATTGATTTTCCCGCGTTTTTTTGATGAAATCATTCTTATTAAACACTTACTTTTAACCAAAATTGACTTGATATTGTTTCAGTTGTCGCTTTTTGCTTGGTGGAGATCATGGTCGTTTGAAATACGCACCTCCATTTGGATTTTCACCATTAGTTCAATGCCTGATGCCACATCAAATATTGAGTTTGGATCCATGCTTTTATTTTGGCAATTTGAACAAAAACGTTATCGCCGGCCCATGGCTTATCGAAGACGATACAGCATTCGTTCCGAATCCAGTCGATACGTCAACAGTAACTTTGCCATCGTCTGTCGATACAATCAAGGATAAATTGGCTGAAAATATCCATGAGATGTGGGCATTGAATAAAATTGAAGCCGGTTGGATGTGGGGAGAACGTCGTGATGATCTTCATCGTATTCATCCGTGCTTAACGCATTTCGATAAATTGCCCGCCGCCGAAAAACGATACGATTGCCAATTGGCCGTACAAACATTGAAGTGAGTTATGATTTTTTTTTTTAGATTGAAAAGCTAAGAAAAAAAGACTTTTTTTCATCTAATTTGTGAAGAATTTGACCAATTTTACCTTTTTCATTTCATACAAAAGGGTTTCCGAATTATAAACATTTTCATATCTTAATTTTAAAATACATCATGTCAATTCTGAAAAAATGTAAACAATTCCCTCGTATTTTCCACCCAGAACAATAATTGCCATTGGTTACTACATAACAATGGATAGGCCACCGGCAAGAATCCGTCCGATTCGTTTGCCGAACGAACCGTTCATGCAAGCGAACGGTTACAAACCGGCGCCACTTGATTTAAGTGCCGTTACATTAACGCCAAAACTTGAAGAGTTGGTCGATCAGCTGGCCGAAAATACGCACAATTTATGGGCAAAAGAACGTATACAACAAGGTTGGACCTATGGATTGAATGAGGATTCCGAAACGTTGCGTAGTCCCCATTTAGTTCCGTATAGCAAAGTCGATGATGCAATTAAGAAAGCCAATCGAGATACGGCCTCCGAAACGGTTCGAACCCTTTTGGTGTACGGTTACAATTTGGATCCACCGACCGGTGAAGGTAACGAAGCGTTGCTTGCTGAGGCATTACGCCAGAAATTTTCCGCATTTCGCACGTATCGAGTGGAGAGAAATTATTCGGTAACATCCGGAAAATGGTATTTTGAATTTGAAGTGCTCACAACGGGCCCAATGAGAGTGAGTAACTTTTCGCTTGTTTATCGAAATAACATGACCGAAATTTCGCCTTTCAAGATGGTTCAGTCACAAACAAGAGAGGTGCTAAGAAAAGATTCCGAATCTTTTTCTAGGTTGGTTGGGCACGCGCTGATGCCAATCCAGGTGTGATGCTTGGTGCTGAGGATTCATCATGGGCATTCGATGGCTATAATGTAAGTGTTTTATCAGCACATTGAAAATTATTTGTAAATTTGAGGTAATCATTGAAGAAAGAGAAGAAAACGAGACAAAGAAAAGCAAAATAAAGAACAGGAGAAAAGGAAGGACGATAGAGAGAAAAGAAAGTGATATGGACAGTTGAACAATTTTATGTCCAATCAGAGTAGTTCATATTTTAACGATAGAGACAGAGCTAATGTGCGAGCATAGAAATTGAGAGCAGAATGAATATATGCTACCATCTTTCGACTGTTACATTCGCATTTATCCATGTATTTATTATTGACACATAAACTAAATATTTGCTGAAATACGCGAAATAGGTCAACAAGTCACAAAACCGAACAAAATACCGTACGCGAAACAAAAAATAACAACAAAAAGAAGAGGGAAAAAAAACAAATGCTCATCTAGAGAGTGAGAGAAAACGTTGAAACATAGACATTTTAATATTCCTAGTGGTTAGTACATAAAGAATATAATTAGTTGTTTTATAAAGACTAGCGTCTCAGGCAATCGAAGCGAGCACAATGCGAACAGAATCAAAAACAACAACAACATCGTTAGATGCGTGTATTTTTAGATTAGACGCGTAGCATAAAAAAAAACGCGCGCACACAGTCTAGCAACAGCTAAAAGTAAACAGAAGAGAGAAGCAAAAAAAACACCAAAAATCAAATGAAACGAAACCAAATAGCACTCATTACAGAGAGACGACTAAAACAATTTACCATATAAATGATTTGTTTAGAGACAATGAAATGCTCGCAGGCAAGGTGAATTCAGATGCACATTTGTTCGCCCCTGACTCATCACATTCAACTCCAAATTCTAGCCTAGGATGATTACAGTAGGGTTTATAAATTCATTTATTTTTTCTCCGCAAATTCGGAAAACAAGTTTAGAAAATAATTTAAATTATATAATCAATCAATCAATAAGACCAAATCCAAAAATAAAAACTGAATAAAAAAAAACCAATTGCATACAACGTTCATATAGGAAGAAAAAGTGTATGCCGGCTCGTACGAGTCATTTGGCAAACAATGGCAACCAGGCGATGTAGTTGGCGTCTTCCTTGATTTGGTCGATCATACAATCAGTAAGGCAGCAAAGCAAACAATTAGCAAAACAACCGATTTCTGTTTATTTATTTATTTTGTCATTCAACTAATTTCTCTAATTTTGTGTGAATGCCTAATCGAGTTTTTCATTTTAACAAAACCAGAAGAAATAAAAAATTACTCTTATAATACACCTCAAATAGTTGCTATTTTATCGGTTTTTCAGTTTAAAATAATGAGCTTATTTCTTTTCTCTTTCACACACACATACACACACATACAATTTAAAAATCAAGCAATTTTATCTGTAACTTTGCCTCATCAACAATTATTATGCAACATTTTGTTGGTTTATATCTGTGCAGCTCTTCACACATACACACACATTTTGCGTGACGTTTTGCTTTGGCTTAAGTAAAAACGGAACTAATACCCAAAATAACCATATGTTTGGTACAATGTGAACATTGCCATGCAATTTAACAAACGAAATTTATGTTTTTTCTTGTCATTTTAAGCATGTCGTTCACAATTTCTGTAAATAATGCTTAAGATTCGCTTAATGTGCAAAGTGCTCATGTTTTTGTGTAGATGAGAATAAGCAATGGTTCAAACACACTGATAAAAAAAAATTTCTTCATGAATTTTGTGTAAAGGTTTCTCGTTGAATGGAGAACTATTGATGGATGCACTTGGTGGTGAAACCACATTTGCTGATGTAACGGCTGCCGAGGGTGTTGGTTTTGTGCCCGCATTCACACTTGGCGTTGGACAAAAAGCGCGCCTTGTCTATGGCCAAAATGTTGATTCGCTGAAATACTTTACCACTTGCGGTTTACAGGAAGGTTACGAACCATTTTGTGTGTAAGTTTTTTTTTTTACCCACACATTGCCTTCATATCCATTTATGGACGACCATTTTACTATGCATTAAAAAATATTTATAGAAACATGCGGCGACCAGTTACACATTGGTATACAAAAGAGCAGCCAATTTTCGAGAATACCGAAGAAATGATTGATTGTCGCATTGATGTAACACGTATCCCGGGTGGTGCTGACACACCGCCATGCCTGAAAATTTCGCACAACACATTTGAAACGATGGAAAAAGCGAATTGGGAATTTTTGCGTTTATCACTTCCGGTTACGTGTAGCGCTGATTTTATTCCGGAACAAGAAAAGGCACGACGATGGGAAGAAATTAAGCTGCGGTAAGACAATTAGATTAACAAAGTTTAGATTAAGTGATTTTTGAATACATTTGCGATTTATAGTCAACATCGTTTAGCGGCTGAAGTAGAAAGACAAGAATCCATGCAGAATCCATCGCATATGGATCACATCATGCAGGGCGGTTTTACAATGAATGATATCAAAGGATTGCATCGTTTTGGTGAGGAAGCCGTCGAAGCTGATGAACAAATGATGATGAATCCATCGCGTCCACCACGAAAGGGATCGGTGAGCCGTGGCAGCCCAACGTATGATATAATGGCTCGATCAACGAGCGCTTTAGACATTGACACCTTCCACACGGATGGCGATGATAAATTGGAGAAGAAACGTGGTCGAAGTCCATTTAAATTTTTCAAGAAAGGTCGAAGTCAAAGCAAGGATAAAAAGTCAAAATCACCGCCTGATCGCAATAGAGGACGTGGAACATGTAAATTTTTTTGTGGATATTCTTTGAATTCTACAGATTGATTGCATTTTTAATCGTTGTTTTTTTTTCTCAGCGGTCGGTCGAAGCACTTCACCACAAGGATTGAGAGCTCCAACGGTTCGCATATCTGATGTAATTTTTTGTTTTTCATCAAACCTGAAAAAAAGATCTTATCTAACATATGTATTTTTTTTATTGTTGAAAAAAAAAACAACTTGATTGTTATAGGCTGATTTGCGTGGAGGTCCACCGCCACAGTTAGAACGACCAAGCAACAAAACGATGACAATAAGTAATCTAAGTTCTCAGGGCATTGAATCGATTGGCAATGAAGTTTATGATGCTGAGTGCCTTAAAATGATCAACGAATACTTCTACGGTGTTCGAATTTTTCCCGGACAAGATCCAACGCATGTTTACGTTGGCTGGGTAACAACGCAATATCATTTGCACAGCAAAGAATTCAATCGCGACAAAGTGCGACGTATTTCGGTATTCATGGAAGATGAATATGAGCAGCCAATTGATCGTGTTGATCGGCAAAGTTGCTATATGGTCCGTGCTGACGAACTGTTTAATGAAGTGTCACAAGATGCATCCGGAAAAGGTGCTACGCAAGGCATGTTTGTTGGTTGTTTCGTCGACACAGCCACTGGTACCATCAAATTCACGTGCGAAGGAAAAGTCACTTCACATCGTTGGCAAATGGAACCGGACACCAAACTTTTCCCAGCCATTTTCGTTGAGGCGACCAGCAAGGAAATTCTTCAAATTGAATTGGGCCGAACACCGACAACACTTCCACTTTCAGCGGCCGTTTTACCAACCAGCGATAAGCATGTGAATCCACAGTTTCCACCACGTCTCAAAGTTCAGTGCCTGAAACCACAGCAATGGGCTCGTGTACCAAATCAAACGCTTCAAGTGCACGCACTCAAATTGTCCGATCTTCGCGGTTGGTCAATGCTTTGCGAAGATCCCGTGTCAATGCTTGCACTTCATATTCCAGAAGAAGATCGATGCATTGACATTCTTGAGCTTATCGAACTGGATAAGTTGCTCGCCTTCCATTCGTATACACTTACACTGTATGCAGCACTCTGTTTCCAATCGAACTACCGAGCTGCCCATGCTCTATGCTTGCATGTCGATCAAAAGCAATTACTCTATGCCATCAAATCGGAGTACATGAGCGGACCTCTGCGGCAAGGTTTCTACGACTTGTTGATTGCACTCCATTTGGAATCACATGCCAACACGATGTAAGCCATTTTGGAACATTTATTTGATGAAACACGATGAAATTGATCACCGAACGAAAGAATTCTTTTCTAATGATTTTACTTTTACTTTCGCCGTGAAACAGGGAAGTGTGCAAGAATGAGTTCATCATCCCACTTGGAACCGAATTAATCGATATGTACGGAGATGAAGAAATGAGGCATTCGTTACGATCACTAAAAACTGAATCCGTCCTGCCGCAGCTTCGTATGACGGATATAGTGTATGTATATCGCTTGAAAGTGTATTGAAGTACCTTTCAAATCACGGCGTTCAATGAGTTTGAAAAATTGAAAAGAAAAGTTTTTTTTTTCTCGAATAAATGATTTCAACTGAACAGTCACACTCCATATGAACGTGATATCGAAATAACTCCATCAAAAGATAGATCATTTTTTTTAAATCTAAATTATTGACCCAAAAAATTGACAACCAATGACTAAATCAGAATCTTTGCACGTGAATCGTAAGCCAATATCGGTCAATTTTTGAAAATTGGATGCTCAATAAATATGTTTGATTCAGGGTTTAAATTAATTTAAACATTCAAATCGTTCATAGAATCTCCTGTGATGATTTATGTTTTTGTTCATTTCGTAAGATCCATATGTTTAATAACCATTATATGAATCTGTTTCTCTATCCAAAGCCACATCATTTTAATTATTTAAAATTTTCTTACTTTATTTTTATGTTGTCCGTTTGCATGATGTTACTCTCTGTGTACTCTGTGCCTGTGCCTGTGTCACTCTTTTTATCACTCTGTGTGTGTATATAATACCGCCTACTTATCATAACCGATATGCGAAAAATACCAAACAAATACCACAATACCTCACCTAAATCAACCAACCAAAAACAAATCAATCGACATCAACGGCTACCAAAAAAAAAAACCACAAAAACAAAACCATACCACCAAATAAAATCAATCCTCTATAGAGATATATATAGCCAACCTCAAATTATACCTTCAGCAAATGAAAATGCTTTCAGTGAACCGATACCAACCATCGATGCACTCTACTCGCCCAAATTCCCATTGGAAGAGGTACGGGATTTTGTGATGGAAGCATTGCTCGAAGCGGTCGAAGTGAATCAAGTGCACAATCGTGATCCGATCGGATGGTCAAATGAAAATCTCTTTTTGTAAGTTAAATTGCAAACATGTTCAACTTTGAAATTTTCTCTTCTTTCTTTCTCTAATGAAATTTCAATTGAAATTTATAAAATAATTTTCTAATTCTTGTTCCGTTCCACTTTCTCGTACAGGCCATTATTGAAGTTAATCGATCGTTTGTTGCTGGTTGGAATCGTAACGGATAATGATGTGCAAAAGTTATTGATTATGATTGATCCGGAAACGTGGAATTCCGATTTCGATGTAGAGGGTAAAGATGAGCATCGCAAAGGATTGCTAACAATGAAAATGGCCGAAGGTGCCAAATTGCAAATGTGCTATTTGCTGCATCATTTCAGCGATATTCAATTGAGACATCGTGTCGAAAGTATTGTTGCATTTTCGCATGATTTCGTTGGTGATTTGCAAACCGATCAGTTGCGTCGTTACATTGAGATAAAACAGTCTGATTTACCAAGTGCCATAGCGGCAAAGAAAACACGTGAATACCGTTGCCCGCCGCGCGAACAAATGAATGCCATTTTAGGTTTCAAAGAATTGGAACCAGATGATATCGAGAATTGCCCGTGTGGCATTGAATTAAAGAATAGTTTCCTTGAATTTCATGAGAATCTATTGACGAAAGTTTCATTGACCGCCCTAGAAGAACCGGAAGAACCAGATGAAACAAACGAAGAAAAGCCATCCGCATTGACGAAACTGTACAATTTAATAAATGCTGTAAAAGATGCCGATGAAAAAGTGGAAGAACTATCGAAAGAGCCAGAGAAGAAGACACCGGAGGAAAACTTTCGCAAAGTATTGATTAGAACGATTGTCGGCTGGGCAGGCGAATCACAAATTGAAAATCCGACATTGATACGCGAAATGTTTAGTTTGCTAGTGCGTCAGTACGATACAGTGGGTGAATTGATACGCGGATTGGAAAAAACCTATGTCATCAATAGCAAGACGAAGGTGGATGTGGCTGGTATGTGGATTGGATTAAGTCAAATACGTGCCTTATTGCCGGTACAAATGAGCCAAGAAGAAGAGGAATTGATGCGAACACGCTTATGGAAATTGGTGAACAACCATACATTCTTCCAGCATCCGGATTTGATTCGCATTTTGCGCGTTCACGAAAACGTAATGGCGGTGATGATGAACACACTGGGTCGTCGAGCTCAAGCGCAAAGCGATGCACCGACCATTACTGAAGGTGGTGAAATGCCGGTCAAAGAAAAGGATACGTCCCACGAAATGGTTGTGGCTTGTTGTCGTTTCCTTTGCTATTTCTGTCGAACCAGTCGTCAAAATCAAAAGGCGATGTTTGATCATTTCGATTTCCTGCTAGAAAATTCAAATATTTTGCTGTCACGACCCAGTTTACGTGGATCAACGCCACTCGATGTGGCCTATTCAAGTTTAATGGAAAATACGGAGTTGGCACTTGCGCTACGTGAACATTATTTGGAAAAAATTGCCGTTTATTTGTCACGTTGTGGACTGCAAAGCAACTCAGAATTGATTGAAAAGGGTTATCCGGATTTGGGCTGGGATCCAGTTGAAGGTGAACGTTACTTAGATTTTCTTCGGTTCTGTGTTTGGGTGAACGGCGAATCGGTGGAAGAAAATGCCAATTTGGTGATTCGTTTGTTGATTCGACGACCAGAATGTTTGGGACCGGCATTGCGTGGCGAAGGTGAAGGTTTATTGCGTGCAATCATTGATGCAAATAAAATGTCCGAGCGCATTTCCGATCGCCGTAAATTGCAAGATGAAGCCGAAGGAACAATGAACGGATTGAACTTTGTTCATCCATTGCCCGAAGGTGACGACGATGAAGATTACATTGATACGGGTGCAGCTATTTTAAGTTTTTACTGTACACTCGTCGATTTGTTGGGACGTTGTGCTCCAGAACCATCGGTCATTGACCAAGGCAAAAATGAGTCGCTTCGGGCTCGTGCCATTTTGAGATCATTGGTTCCATGTGAAGATTTACAAGGTGTTTTGAGCCTAAAATTCACACTACATCAACCGGCACCAGGTGAGGATAGACCAAAATCCGATATGCCATCCGGATTGTTACCGGGTCACAAACAAAGCATCGTTCTTTTCTTGGAACGTGTTTACGGAATCGAAACGCATGATCTTTTCTATCGCATTCTTGAAGATGCATTCTTACCGGACTTGAGAACAGCCACCATGCTCGATAAGGTATCTACATTGATTTTTCGCCATTGAAATTATCTGAAACCGATTTCATTTCGACATTTTCTCATATTTTAGAATGATGGAAGCGAAAGCCAAATGGAGCTATCAATGAACCGTTACATTGGACTCTCAATACTACCACTGCTCATCAAACACTCGAAATTTTACCAAGAAGCGGAGAATTATGGCAGTCTATTGGATGCCACACTGCACACAGTCTATCTATTGTCAAAGAATCGAATGTTAACAAAGGGACAGCGTGAAGCTGTGTCTGATTTCTTGGTTGCCTTAACAGCGTCAATGCAACCAGCTATGCTGTTGAAACTATTGCGTAAGCTGACTGTTGATGTGTCCAAATTGTCTGAGTATACAACGGTTGCACTGCGGGTAAGCATTTACCTGTTTAATTATCTAAATGAAAAATGAAAATTTTAAAGGGTTAATTCCGTTTCTTTCAAATTTTAGCTATTGACACTGCACTACGAACGATGTGCAAAATATTATGGTTCAAGTCATGGTCAGGCCACATACGGAGCAGCATCGGACGAAGAAAAACGATTGACAATGATGTTGTTCTCCAATATTTTCGATTCACTCAGTAACATGGACTATGATCCAGAATTATTTGGTAAAGCATTGCCATGTCTAATTGCAATCGGTTGTGCATTGCCACCCGATTATTCGTTGCCACAAAAATCGGACGATGATTTCTATGGCAAAAATTCCGGTAATCCAGATCAACCGCAATACCGGCCCGAACCAATCAACACATCGATGATTTCACTCGATAATGATTTGAATTCGATCGTGCAAAAATTCAGCGAACACTATCATGATGCGTGGGCAAGCCGAAAAATGGAAACTGGTTGGACGTATGGCGATTCATGGTCAGATGCAAATAAAACACATCCACGGCTTAAACCATATAGTATGCTAAATGACTATGTAAGTTTTGGTTGTTTTTTTTTTTCTTGAGAGTTTATTTTGACTTTTGATAAAATCGTTTGAGATTTCATGATTTTTCACCCCAAATAAAAATTCTACATAAACGTTGTAGGAACGCGAGCGCTACAAGGAACCAGTGAGGGAGAGTTTGAAGGCATTGCTCGCTTTGAACTGGACCGTTGAGCACGCCGATGTTGATGCACCGCCATCACATCGTGGATCAACGAGACGCCAATCGAAACCAAATATTGTAAGCTCCGACAGTTCGGACAACTGCATGACTATTTCCTTACAATACTTCCACTTTAATGAATATTCCAAATTTAACAAATTCTTCATGTAAAAAAGACCCAAAACATTTATTTCTAATGGGAATTTTTCTGTCTTTCCAATTTAAACGTTCCTTCCTCGTACGATCCGGCCCGTTTTTCATCTATGTGGGATGTACACAAAATTTGTTAATCCAATCCTCTGCACTAAAACCAACTACATGTGTTTGTGTTTGAAAAAAAAAACCTTTCGTTGTGAACAAAATAAAATTCCAAATTATTACGCAAAAAAAAAACAAATACAAACAAAGCATGAGGATTTCCGGGATTTCCAGAGTGATGGCAACGCATTTAACTACAATCCACATCCGGTTGATATGACGAACTTGACATTGAATCGTGAAATGCAAAATATGGCCGAGAGATTGGCCGAAAATTCGCATGACATTTGGGCGAAGAAGAAACGTGAGGAGATTGATACATGCGGTGGTGCTATTCATCCGCAACTGGTTCCATACGATCTGTTGACCGACAAAGAGAAACGCAAGGATCGTGAGCGATCACAAGAATTCTTGAAGTATATGCAGTATCAAGGATTGAAGCTTCACAAGTGAGTAGGAAACATAAATTTTAATTTTCTGTTTCAGTTTTTCTTCAAATAATTTTTTCCCAAATGAGTTTGCTCTACGAGGGTCGTTTTTTAATTACCCGGACTAGGCAAGAAAACGAAATAGCTTTTTGTTCATATATATTTATTTTTCAACATAGTCTCCACCCGAGGCGATACACTTTTCCCAGCGATGTTCTAACGCTAAGATTCCAGTTTTGTAGTGGTCGGCGTCAAGACCTCCAAAATACCCATTTACAGCAACAATTACTTCATCATCGTCGTTGAATCTTTTTCCTCCGAGCCATTTTTTGAGATTTGGAAAGAGGTGGAAATCGCACGGGGCTAAATCCGGTGAATACGCTGGATGCGGCAACACTTCGTATCGTAATTCGTGTATTTTTGCCATTGTAACGGCCGATTTGTGAGATGACGCATTATCTCTGTGAAAGAGAACTTTTTTCTTTTGCAAATGCGGCCGCTTAACCTTGATTTCATCGTCCAAACGGTCCAATAAAGTGGCATAATATGGTCCGGTGATTGTTTTACCACGCTCCAAATAGTCGATGAAAATAACACCGCGAGCATCCCAAAATACAGTGGCCATAATCTTTCCCGCCGATAATACCATTTTTGCCTTCTTTGGAGCCGATTCACCTTTTTTAACCCATTGTTTTGACTGATTTTTTGTCTCTGGTGTATAGTGGTGAGCCCAAGTCTCATCTGTGGTTATGAATCGACGCAAAAATTCATCAGGATTTGGAAAGATTGTCAAACACTGCTCTGAAATGTCCATTCGATCGTGTTTTTGAAGCGGTGAAAGCAAATGCGGCACCCAACGCGCAGATAGCTTATGCATTTCCAAATGTTCATGCAAAATCTTAAACACCACACTGGTTGAGATGTGCAAAGCCTCTGCTATTTCACGCACCTTCAAACGACGATCATCTTTCACCATTTTGTAGACTTTTTTAATGTTTTCTAAACTCATTTGGACGACCTGACCGATGTTCGTCTTCACAGCTCGTTCTGCCCCTTGCGAATTCATTCACCCAAGAATACACTGTGGTTTTCGATGGAGCAGAGTCACCAAGTGTTGCATCCAATCGGGCTTTGATATCTTTGCCCGACATATTTTCCAAACAAAAAAATTTAATCACCGCGCGAATTTCGTTTTTTTCCATTTTTTCAATTTTACCAATTTTTCAACTTTTGTATGCTCGTTGTAAACAAACCAATGAACCGATTGACATGAAATTTGACAGGTCTTCCTAAATATGTCTGAAGTTGTACACAGTGTCAAAAAATATGGCACAGGGCTGTCCAAAATATGCGAGTCCGGGTAATTAAAAAACGACCCTCGTAGTTGGAATACCTTCAGCATTTTCTTGGCGATTTCTTTATTCCCAGCTCCAAACGATATATTATGTTTCTCTAAAAAATTAGGTGAAAAAAATTTATAAATCTGTCTATTCCATCCAATTTAAGGCCATGCCGAGTGGATACCAATTTGGAGGGTGAGCAGGCCGCAACCCAAGCAGCAATCGAATTGCGCTTCTCATATTCATTGCTCGAGAAGCTCATTGCATATTTGGATCGTGCAACAATCAATATGAAACTATTGAAACCATCGGCAACATTCAGTCGTCGTTCGTCATTCAAAACGGCATCCAGAGACATTAAATTCTTCTCAAAAGTCGTATTGCCATTGATCGAAAAGTATTTCTCGACGCATCGCAGTTATTTCATAGCCGTTGCAACAGCGACCAACAATATCGGTGCCGCTTCGTTGAAGGAAAAAGAAATGGTTGCGGCCATTTTCTGTAAATTGGCCAATCTGTTGCGCCAGCGTTTGTCTGCATTCGGACCGGATATTCGAATAACGGTACGATGCTTGCAAGTGTTGGTGAAAGGTATCGATGCAAAGTCATTGGTCAAGAATTGTCCCGAATTCATTCGTACATCGATGTTGACATTCTTCAACACCACGGCCGACGATTTGAGTCAAACGATTATCAACTTGCAGGAGGGAAAATACAGCCACTTGCGAGGTACACACTTAAAAACATCCACCTCTCTGTCGTATGTAAACCAGGTGATAATGCCGGTGTTAACATCGATGTTTGATCATTTGGCCGCATGCGATTATGGAAGCGATTTACTTTTGGATGAAATTCAAGTGGCATCGTACAAGATTTTAGCCGCATTGTACACACTGGGCACGGACAGTACATTGACCAATGATCGTAAATATCTGAAGACCGAAATTGAACGCAGCCGACCAAGTTTGGGAACATGTTTGGGCGCGTTTAGCTCCACATTTCCGGTTGCATTCTTGGAACCGCATCTCAATAAACACAATCAATTTTCGCTGCTTAATCGCATTGCCGATCATTCGCTGGAGGCGCAGGATATTATGGTGCGAATGGAGAGTTCAATGCCAAATTTAGAATCGATTCTAACCGAAGTCGACCAATTTGTTGAATCGGATAAAACATACATTGATGCTCCGCACATAATTGATGTTATTTTACCATTGCTGTGTGCATATTTACCGTTTTGGTGGTCACAGGGACCGGATAATGTTTCACCAACAAGTGGCAACCATGTTACAATGGTGACCGCCGATCATATGAATGTTTTGCTGAAAAACGTACTGAAAATGATTAAAAAGAACATTGGCAACGAAAATGCACAGTGGATGACCCGAATCGCCGCATACACACAACAGATTATCATTAATAGCTCGGAAGAATTGCTCATCGATCCATTTTTGCCGCTGGCCGAACGTGTCAAAAAGCGTACCGACAATATGTTCCACAAGGAGGAAGGCATGCGTGGTTTTATTAAATCGGCAAACGACGATACATCACAAATCGAATCTCAAATCCAAAATGATTGGCAACTTTTAGTGCGTGATATTTATTCATTCTATCCGTTACTTATTAAATATGTCGATTTGCAACGCAATCACTGGCTCAAGAATAACATCCACGAAGCTGAAGAGCTGTACAATTATGTGGCGGAAATTTTTAACGTTTGGTCAAAGAGTCAGTACTTCTTAAAGGAAGAGCAAAACTTTATATCGGCCAATGAAATCGATAATATGACATTGATTATGCCGACGGCAACACGACGACCAATCTCCGATGGAGCTCCGGTGACTGGCGGAAAAGTGAAGAAGAAGAAGAAACATCGCGAGAAGAAACGGGACAAAGACAAGGAAGTACAAGCCAGTTTAATGGTGGCTTGCTTGAAACGTCTTTTGCCAGTCGGTTTGAATTTGTTCGCTGGCCGAGAACAAGAGCTCGTTCAACATTGTAAAGATCGATATCTTAAGGTGAGGAACAGAGAGAGTGGGAGTCTTTTTTCAGGATTTTTCATTCTAAATATTATGGGAAAATTGAAAAGAAAAAACAAGAAAAACTAAACAATAATTAAACTGAACTAGTTTTTTCACTGATCAACGGTTTAACTGTGTATTTTCTTTGTTTTAAACAGAAAATGCCGGAAAGTGAGGTCATTGAATTTGCTCGCACACAACTCACATTGCCAGATAAGCTCGATCCTGCCGACGAAATGTCGTGGCAACACTATCTGTACTCAAAATTAGGAAAGGACCAGACCTCGGAAGAGATTATTGAAAAACCACCGGCGGGCGCCACCGAAAAGATTAAAACCAAAGATCAAATCATCCAAGAGACAGTCGAACGCATTGTAGCAATGGCTAAAGTTTTATATGGACTTCACATGGTAAGTCGTTCATTTTCCAACTTGTTCGTTCATTTGCGTTGACGATTGATTAAAATTCAAAACTTGAGAACTTTTTTTGTTGTTGATTGGCACCAGTAAAATTTGAAATTTCATCGGAGGGATGAACCTCTACATGTAAATTATGGGTTTTTTTTGTCATAAAGGAGAAGATAAGAAAAGAATGACAATACAGGAATAAGCATACTGGAGCGTAACGTAGCATAAAATATACGAGAGTGAACCATGAATTTCCAAACACATGGTAATTACATGGATAGCAGCGAATTCGCTTATCTATGTCACGCTTCAGTGTGCTTATTTGCTCTCTGTGTGTTTTTTTCCCACCGCCGCAAATTAGTTTTTCCCCGAAATCAGTCCCAATTTTTTTTTTTCAATTCATTTTTTTCTCTTCAATTCATTATTTTAATTCATTTTTTCCTGATATAATTTTTATTTTGAACAAAAAAACACCTGGTTTAGATTGATCATCCCCAACAACAAAGTAAAAACGTTTATCGAAGTGTCGTTTCAATACAAAGAAAACGAGCTGTTATCGCTTGTTTCCGCCAAATTCCAATACATTTACTGCCAAGGTTATATTTTAGTCACTTTTTTGTGGAGTTTTTTTCTTCATTAATAATAATCGTTTGTGTTTGTTTTTTCGAATTTTGTGTGGAATAACATTATTTTTTTAAAACTGTTTCAACAAGCGTACACAAATTTTTAACAGGTGAATGTTTTGTGTTTTTCTGTGTTAGTATCGGTATTGAAAGCTAACGGATAGTAGTGTTTCCCATGAAAAATATTCCAATTTTTGTGGAAGAAAGGGTTTGATTTTGTTTGGTTCATGCACACAAATGCTACTAAAACCATTAAAAAAATCATATAGTAAAAACCAAAATTAAAGTGAAATGAATTTAATGAACGAGTTTTCTAATTTTCCCTTCCCCAACCCAGGCATGTCGTCCTCGTTATTCGAGACAGAATTGGAAACGCATTTTATCGTTAGCAAGGAAAAATGCTGCTATTGCATGCTTAAGAGTAAAGCATCTTTATAAAATGAGCAGGTTGCTTCGTAACATTACCTTAACTGTATCTTAAAATATTTGTCTCTTTCGATTTTCTTTTATTTTTAATTTCGATTCGGTTTTTCTTTCGTCATATTTTAACTTTTATATGTTCTTCCCGAGTAATTTGTCCTGAAATTAGCCATGTTTAGCCAAAGATTGCTTCCGTTTTGCTTTAATATGGCATGATTTTGAGTTTGATTACTTACCAGAACAGATGAATGTCAACCGGAACAAAAAGAAATAATATTTTGTTGAAATACATTTGCAGACATCGTGGATGCAACATCTTTGCCCGAACCTATTACGAATCATGGTTGCAGGATGAAAATATTGGACAAGAAATGTTGATTGACGTTTTAACGGTAATATTGACTTTAATTCCCGAAATATTTTGTTTTCTTTTTGAAATTGGAAAAGCGAAAATTTATATTTTACTCACGTAGCAAACGTTCGAAGAAGCGGAAAAGAAAAAGAAAGATGACTTATGCGATCAAGGCAAACCAGATCCATTGTCCCAATTGGTGATAACATTCTGTCGTAATGCAATGGCTGAACGTAGCGGTGCACTTCAAGAAGATCCATTATATATGTCGTATGCACAAATTGTGGCTAAATCATGCGGCGAAGAACAGGAGGATGATGGTGGTGGCGAAGGTGATGCCAGCATTCATGTAAGTGCACAATTTCTTTTCATTTGGCTAATACTGTTTGAATAATTGGTTTGACATTTTCAAACGAAGTTTTATTCTATGTATTAATAGTATGAATTAAGAATGATCAATTGCACATCAAATACTAATCATCTAAATGCATTTTATACTAATATTTCAAATTCATTTTAACCCACCATGAAGAGTATGGAAAAAGTGATTGTAAGTTAATACTAACTAAATTTTATATGGAAACAAAATGGCTTTTTCCCTGCAATCAGATGTGATTTGCTCTTTTCTCAACGTTTTCTTTTCAACTTTTTTTTTTCCTTTTCTTCGATTCTTCCCAAATAAAAGGAGCAAGAAATGGAAAAGCAAAAACTTTTGTTCCATCAAGCTCGGCTGGCCAAACGTGGAGTTGCTGAAATGGTGTTACTTCATATATCAGCATCAAAAGGTATACCGAGCGATATGGTCATGACAACATTGGAATTGGGTATTGCTATATTGCGTGGCGGTAATATCGACATTCAAATGGGCATGTTGAATCATTTGAAGGAGAAAAAAGATGTTGGCTTTTTCACATCAATCGCCGGACTGATGAACTCGTGCAGCGTTTTAGATCTGGATGCATTTGAACGGAACACCAAAGCCGAAGGTACGTTCTTTCGATTTATAAATTGGTCGCTTTTCATCTGTATCTCGTTGATTCACATTCAGAAGAAGATAAATTAAAATTCAATTAGCTTGCAAACAAGGCTAATTTATGTAGTTACAACATAGATTGATCGAAATTTTCATCATAGAAAACATAAATTCAGCTCACGCTAAAATACGGTAATTTGAACTAAAGTTGCTTCAAAATGTGGAAAAAACAATCACGCGATTCAATTTCAAAAGTTATATGGGAGACTTTAATTCAAGCGTCTTTTGTCTGGGCCTTGATATTATAACATTTATGTCATAACAATGTGTCATATTCCAAAGATCAAAATAGTTCGTAATTCTAATTTTCACCATATGTCCGTTCGCCAAATATCTCAATAATCGCACCAAAACTCATATTTAAACAAAGAAATCTAGTCAAAATTCGAATTTAATTTCCAATTCAGCAATTTGGCTCTAGAAAACACCTAATCTTTTGATCTATTTTTGTTTTAATGCAAGAGAAATTGTTTCGTTCATTTGGATTGTCAAAATTCATCTCTTTTTCATTGTTATTATTTTTTTCTTATTTCCACATTTGGTTGCGCTAAAACAATATTGCGGGTGTTTTCTGTAACTGTTCCATCCACACACACAAACACACACACACACCACACAATCAATCTGTTGTTCTGTGATCCTACCTCCCATCATCAAATGCCAAAAAAAAAAAAAAACATGTATATCAAAAACCAAAAACCAAAAATCAAAAAATCTATGCAAAAAAACCACAACCACGTTTTCTTGCACGTACTCTTCTTACTTGTATCCATCATGATACCATTTAAATATAAAAAAAAACACATAAAAAAAAACAAAAGAGTATATTCCGAGTGCGGGTTCAGGTCTAGGTGTTGGTTCGGAAGGAGCGGCTGGCGAGAAAAATATGCACGATGCTGAATTTACATGCGCCCTATTTCGATTCATTCAACTCACTTGTGAAGGTCACAACTTGGGTAGGCAATTTTTGATGCTTTTTTTTCGATTTTTTTTTTCATTTTTTTTGTTTAAATGAAATGTGATTGATTTATTTGTAAAATAATTTATCTAATCAATTTAACTGTTCGTTTTCAGAATGGCAAAACTATTTGCGAACACAAGCTGGTAATACAACGACGGTGAATGTTGTCATCTGTACGGTGGATTATTTGTTGCGATTGCAAGAATCTATCATGGATTTCTATTGGCATTATTCGAGTAAAGAGGTGATCGATCAGGCAGGCAAATTGAATTTCTTCAAAGCGATCGGTGTGGCCAGTCAAGTATTCAACACGTTGACTGAAGTCATTCAAGGACCATGTACACTGAATCAACAGGCATTGGCACATTCACGTCTATGGGATGCGGTCGGCGGTTTTCTCTTCTTATTCTCACACATGCAAGACAAACTATCGAGACACTCGAGCCAAAATGATTTGCTCACCGAACTGAATAATCTGCAAAAAGATATGATTACAATGATGTTGTCGATGCTGGAAGGAAATGTCGTCAATGGCACCATTGGAAAGCAAATGGTCGACACATTGGTCGAATCAGCGTCGAATGTTGAATTGATTTTGAAATATTTCGATATGTTCTTGAAATTGAAAGAGTTGACAACATCGGCATCATTCGGCGCCGAAATCGATCCCAACGGCGATGGATGGGTCGAAACAAAGGATTTTAAAGAGAAAATGGAACAAACCAAAAATTACACACCGTAAGTTTGAGCTGAAAATGAATTTCACTTTAAAATGGTGTGAATTTGTTCACCTTTTTCTTAATTTCCATCATTTCAATATTTCAACACAAAATCCTATAGAAATTCAAAAAAAAAAATGTTTTTCTTTGAATCAACAGCGAGGAGATCGATTTTCTGTTGGCCTGCATGGAAGTCAATCACGACGGAAAAGTTGATTACGAAGCATTCGCTGACCGTTTCCATGAGCCAGCCACTGAAATCGGTTTCAATTTGGCGGTTCTGTTGACAAATCTCTCAGAGCATATGCCAAATGAGCCACGATTAGCCCGATTCTTGGAGACAGCCGGTTCGGTATTGAATTATTTCGAACCGTTTTTAGGACGTATTGAAATTATGGGTGGCTCTAAGCGAATTGAACGTGTCTATTTTGAAATCAAAGATTCAAACATTGAACAATGGGAGAAACCACAAATTAAGGAATCAAAACGTGCATTCTTCCATTCGATTGTAACGGAAGGTGGTGACAAAGAGAAGCTCGAAGCGTTTGTTAACTTCTGCGAAGATGCTATTTTCGAAATGACACATGCATCAAATCTCATGGCAACGGACGATAATACAAGTAACACGAAAAAAGAAGCCAAATACAGCACATACATCAGCGAAGAAGATGAAGAACGGTAGGTTTGAACGGTTGGAAATGTTGTTATAAAAATAAAAATTGACTTGAATTTTGGTTTTGCAGAGCGGCCAGAGATCCAATCCGACGAAGTGTGCAAGGTGCAAAGAATGCCTTTAAATACACCATACACTTATTTAGCCCAGCAAATATCAAACATCAATTGGGTGTAATGAAAACCATGTCCATACCGGAATTGATAATTGGATTCTTTAAGTCGATATTCTATGCATTCTATTACTCGGGCTACGGTGTAATGGCAATCATTAAATATTTGTTGATAAATGTGTTGATGTCATTGATGCGTGGACCAGCTGAAGAAGTGATTGAAGAAGCTCCAATTGAAGAGGATAAATTTTCCATGAAAGCGTTAGCACTGCCGGCCGAAGAGACATCGACAACAATGCAGGCATTCGGATTGGATATAAGTAAAGAGGAAAATGGACAATTCAAAATGGCACCGCACGAATCATCGCAACCAAGTCCAACTGCTTCGGAAGAAACGGGCGAGAGTACGCCTGAAGAAGGTGGTGAACAAACGGATCCATCTGCCGAAGTGGAACAACCAATGACTTTGGTAAGTGACAATTTCATTATATTCGGTTACACAAATAATTTGTCGATAATTGGAATTTTCGTTTTTGTCGCAACAAAGGTCGATTTGTTGGGTGGAGAAGCGGCAAAGCGAGCAGATATCGAACGTTCTGAGGCGCAAAAAGTGCAGGAAGCTGCGATGGCAACAATCGAAGCCGAATCAAAGAAAACTGCACAACAAACTACCGAAACACCAGCCGTCGAACAAATCGATTTCTCCAAATATGCCCATCGTGCTGTCAGCTTTTTGGCGCGAAATTTCTACACTCTCAAATATTTGGCGTTGGTATTGGCGTTTGGCATCAATTTCATGTTGTTATTCTATAAAGTTACGTCATACGCTGAAGAGGGAGACGAAGATGAAGATGATTTGCTTGGTTTTGGTTCTGGTTCTGGCATACTCGAAGGATCTGGTGGCTCGGGCAGTGGTGCTGGTGATGATGAAGACGATGATCCAATGGAAGCGGTACATGTGGATGAAGATTTCTTTTACATGGAACATGTGCTACGCGTGGCCGCATTGTTGCACAGTTTATGCTCGTTATGCATGTTAATCGCCTATTATCACCTTAAAGTGCCATTGGCCATTTTCAAACGGGAAAAAGAAATTGCACGACGATTGGAATTCGATGGTTTATTCATTGCCGAGCAACCGGAAGACGATGACATTAAATCGCATTGGGATAAATTGGTAATATCAGCAAAGAGTTTCCCAGTGAACTATTGGGATAAATTTGTGAAGAAAAAAGTGCGCCAGAAATACAGTGAAACGTATGACTTTGATATGATTTCATTATTGCTGGGAATGGAAAAGACCACAAATCTGCCGGTGCAGGAAGTTGAATCGAGCGGTATTATTCAGTACATATTGACGATCGATTGGAGGTACCATGTGTGGAAAGCGGGTGTAACCTTCACAGATAATGCCTTCCTCTATGCACTGTGGTATTTCACATTTTCGGTGCTGGGTAATTTCAACAATTTCTTCTTTGCTGCCCATTTGCTCGATGTTGCCGTCGGTTTTAAGACATTGCGTACGATTTTGCAGTCGGTAACACACAACGGAAAACAGCTGGTATTGACGGTCATGCTGTTGACAATTATTGTGTACATTTATACGGTGATTGCGTTCAATTTCTTCCGTAAATTTTACATTCAGGAAGAGGATGAAGAGGTGGACAAAAAGTGTCACGATATGTTAACATGTTTTGTGTTCCATTTGTATAAGGGTGTACGGGCTGGTGGTGGTATTGGTGATGAAATCGGTGATCCCGATGGCGATGACTACGAAGTGTATCGCATCATTTTCGATATCACATTCTTCTTCTTTGTTATTGTCATTCTGTTGGCCATCATTCAAGGTTTGATTATTGATGCATTCGGTGAGCTTCGTGATCAACTTGAATCGGTCAAAGAAGATATGGAATCGAATTGCTTTATTTGTACGATGGAAAAGAGTTTCTTTGATGCGGTACCGCATGGTTTTGATACGCACGTACAGCAAGAGCATAATTTAGCCAATTACATGTTCTTCTTGATGCATTTAATCAATAAGCCCGACACCGAGTACACCGGCCAGGAAACATATGTTTGGAACATGTATCAGCAACGTTGCTGGGACTTTTTCCCGGTCGGTGACTGTTTCCGGAAGCAAAACGAAGACATAAAAGCTGGCGGTGGCGAATAATAACACACGCACACCACACACAACACACAACAATACACCACATTTATTTTGCACAACCATTTTACGTATTATTCATTTTATATAAATAGTTCTCTCTCTCTCTCTTTTTTTGTAAACAAAAACAAACTTTGTTTCATCCATTCGGCACGACGACGAAGACGACGGACGAACGAACGACGACGACAAGAACAACACATCGACAAATCAAAAAAAAAAAACAAATTCAGTCATCTTTTTATATGTACTTTCTTATTTCTAAGCAATTGAAGTTTTTTTTTTAAATATCAACACACACTCTCTTTAGGAACAAACGAAGAAAAAGAAAATCATACTAGTCAAAATTTACATCAGATTATGTTCATAAATTATTCTCTCTCAAACACACACACGCAATCAATTGAATTCAGTAAAAATTCAATTGAAACATTTGTAAAAAAAAAAAAAAACAAAGCAAATATTTGGACTAAAGAAACAAGTGGACATCACTGTTCAATTATTACTGAAAATGTTATTTAGTTAAGTTTAAGCGCAATTCAGACAATCGATAAATCTATTCTAGACATCATTTAGCCATTTCTATTTCGCTGTTAGGAATACGATTCATATCATCAAATAATTCTAGCAGTTCAATCCTTTATTTTCGTTTTCGGATTGTTTTTCACCCTATGGCTGGCTAAAAAACTATCATATTGTATTTTTCAACCACACTCATACATGGAAAAAACAACACTCTCTCTTCAAAATCACGACCAAATTAATTTCACCTTCAAAAACGGTGACCAAGTGTAAAAAATGAAATACAAACCAATAAGCCATGAAAACATTGCTGGTTCTTCATATAAACCAACAATAATAATCCGACGTGGATGAATGACGAAATGCTATTTTTTTTTTAAATATAACTATTATGTTTTTGATTCAACACACGTGTATTTTCATACAAGAACTTGTAATTTTTCTCTCTTATCGATTCTAATACATATTCAATAAAAAAAAACAACGTGAGAAAAAGTTATTCGCTCTGCTTTTTAGAATTTAAACATTTATTTCCTATGAGTAAAGCTATTTAGAATGAGCGCGCCATAATCAAATGGTAAAAACGGTAAGATGTTTGCATGATGATGGCGCTGTGTCATCGATTCTGTCTTCAGTACATGGTCGCCTGATGTATTGGTGACTCCCTCTGTAGAACTTGTGCAGCTGTCATTGCACACACACATGCCATTCATGTAATGACGACGTATTCCCTGTTTTCAATATCAAAGTGACTTTTAGTTGGATGCATTGTATTTTGAAACACAATTTTAAAAAGTTGGCTGTGTTTGTTTGTTATGATTTTTTCTGTTGGATATTTTTCGTTAAACTGCGGTAAGTTGATCTCAGGATTGGGAAGCGGTCGCATTTCGAAAAAAAAAATGCACGCAATGAAATCGAATTATGAGAAAATTTCGCTGTAACAGATAATATGGCAATAAAGTATGGCACAGCATTCATATATACTAACGATTTCAAATGATTTTAAAATGAAGGTACGAACGATTTTTACCTCAACATTTTTGTAAAAACACACATTTCTGCTTGGATTTCAGATCGTGTAAATATTCGTCAGATTTGATTGGATGACCCATGCCAAATGAATTTTGGATGAACATATTATAAACATTCAGCAACATGAATCCAACATTTAAAACCGTATCAAGAGCGAGTGTAGCAAGCCGACTAAAAAATTTCCACTGTACATATTCGAAATGTTAACCAAATTTTCTACAAAGATTCAATGTGAAATCAAGAGCAAATAAAATCAATGGCCATTATTCTATCAGATATTCTGGATCAAAGCGTTGCAGACCCAAATAGTACATTCGAAAATTGTATGCCGAAAATAGAACGAATTGTACACCAAATGCTGAATAAATGAAGTTAAACATGCGCTATCGTACAGTGTCCCATCAGAGTATACCCTGATCACGATGAATCGGTGAAGGTATCGCAAAAAAATGACGGTGTCATCGAATGAGAAGAATCGATGCTTTATGAACGAAAAGGACTTGTACAATTTAAGTCACAGTGTTTAAACATTCGCAATATGATCGACCATTCAACGGGCAATCCACATCATTCAAAAATGCTAGAACAATAAAAAATTAGTTTGAAAAAAATATATTTTAAAATTTTTTGATCAAAATTGAAATTTGCAAATATTTAAAATGCTTCATATATCGACCCCCTTATTGAATTCTGAACTTCATATGACTGTGTATGCACAAAAAACAAGAATACCCGCAAAAAAGCTAACAAATGTTCTTTTTTTTAACATCTATTACATAGAAGCTATGACCGGCCCCTTATGGGGCTCTTGGAAAGTCTGTTTTCTACATTTCTCTCAATAACAGATGGCGATTGGAAATGATATTTTTGTACTGAGAAAGAAAACAATTTTAATTATTCGAATTTCTTGGAGCAATAATGAAGATACTGTGTATCATCTCTCATCAAACATATTTATTTTTCATTTATCAGAAAGATTGATCGCTTTTTCATTGGTCATTTATTGAACAATTTTCATGGTTTTTAATAATTATTTAAAATGACGACAATGACGATGGCAACTACGTCGTTTCCCATGTACTTGATTTGAGCTATTCGCGCGAACGAGCACATTCACACGTTAAGTTAAGCTATTAATTTGGTCAATATTTGCAGGAAAAACGTCAATCTTGATGCGAACAAACAACGTCGCAAATGGTGTAAATTGCTTAAATGTGAACAAGTATCTTTTTTTCAGTTGCATGCGCAAGTGCATTTGGACAGAGTAAAAAACAACAATAACAGCTCTCAACCGAGCACATTTACTATGCATCTAAATTGCACTAATGTACGGAAATTGCTCTCAAGATATAATAAATCGTAATTTAAGATGAGGATTGCTTCACCATGCACACAGGCACCATAATTTTAAATACAAATCCAACAGAAATGTAGTGTTTCAACGGAAATTTCAGTATATACAGTGAGCGTCAAAAATTTGATGTTTGGTAGACAGTTCTTCACTTGTTTTTGGACTCAATTTAACCCGAACAACAAAATGGCCAAGGTCCACGTTATTCTCTTTGCTGTTGCAATCATTTATCAGATAACACAGGTAGGTAGGTATCTTTACCATTTTCTTTACATTCATTCAACCAATTGTTATCAGTGACAATTTTCATCATCGAACGTTTTTAGAATAACTCATTTCATTTTATTTATGATATAGACTACGGCCGACACAGCAGTATCATCAGACTGTGAGCAGAAAATTTATTCCTTTATACTGCCATATTATGAAAATTTTGATGAAAGTGGATTGGTGGATGACTTCGAAGAAGGTGCAAGATTTTGTTATGAAGTATCAATGGAAATTGGAAAAAATAAGGAACACATCCAACAACTATGGAGTGATCTTAGAATTTGGATTCATTCAGAACAGGTGGTTGCTCCGATCAAGAATCGCCAACCAGGTGAACCAGCGGCTAGAGATTTAGCCATCGCCGCCTGTGCACGGTGCAATGCAATGTTAATAAGCTAAATAGCTATTGCATGTTAAAATATCAATTGTAATGATATTAACATTTTTTATATTTGGTTCATTCAAACAACAAAAAACAACAAAAAAGGCAAATTCCTAGTGAAATTTAAGGCAAAACACAATTAAAAAACCTGTCATTTTCCTTTCTAACAATCATAACTGAGAAAACATTCTTCTTTAATTTTAACTAGTATTTGGTTCGAATTTGCTGTCATTTCGTCTTATCATTGGATTTTGTATTTTTGGTGCTAGTTGCTTCCGAAGCCGGCGCAATGCCGCTTAGTTCTAAATTAGTTTGGAGTTCTTTGAGTGAACGTTGGCCATGTTGCAGTAGCATTTTGATCGTTAATTCATCCGTGTGATGCATATTGGCACGAAAATCAGATCGTGTCCATTGTTTCAAATCATTTCGGCTTGACACCTCCGGAACCAGTCTGATCGAACGGAATATTTCTCTGTAGAGCTTCATCACCTCTTGCCGCAGCATAAACTACATTGAAAATGACAGAAGATTAGTATCATTTTTCACTGATGAAAAGACAATTTTCTTCGGAAGAAATGTACAATTTGAGCGTTTTCTCCAGTGAAGCATTCAATGTTTCTTCGTCAATATTACCTGTTTCAATGACAATATTGGTTTCGTGAATTTTCTCATTGTGCCCAAAAATCAAGCCACAATTTGAGCATGGAAAATCGCTTTTTGGTGTCTGTTGACCAGCAAGAATCAGAAACTAAATACACATCGCTTTTGTAGTTTAACCTGTCTTTGCGAAATGAAAAGTCCAATGTTTACAACAATTATCACTCAGACTCAATGGGTTTCAATGAAGTTTTTAGGTTCTAGCAGTGAATGTGTTTAATTCTCCTCGGTTGTAATACTGAAAGTGGAGCCGGTCGCTTTTTCCTCTCTATTTTTATTCATTCATTCTGAACCAAGTGGTGGAAATTACGTTATTTGGTAATAGAAATGGAATTATCCATGAGCTTTGGGACACTGTATGTATCAGTGTAAGCCATCGAATTAGAAGTGTGTGTTGCGAATACGGTTACATCAGCCAATGAGTAAGCGAACGAAAAGAAGGTGAGAAAGTGAGAGAAAACAAGAAAAATGGACTGCTGTGTGTTCGGTTGTCATGTATGCGCGCGCCAGTCAAAACAACAACATAATCACACTCGTTTATACACAACACCGATCTGTTGATGTCACAGATTAAGTTAGCGGCTTAAGATGCGGTATAGTCTTGAACATAGACTGCTATCGATAGGACGCAAAACGGATAACTCCTGCTGAACATCATTATCATCACAATTTTTTTTTTATGTAAATTCAAATAAAATAATTTACCGAAGATATTTTTCGAAAGTAAAAAAAAAATTTCAATAAAAAATATATCGTTAAAAATCGACGAAAAAAAAAATAACATGATGAAAAGTGAAGTGATCATTTTGTAACGGAAATTAATTGAACACAAAGTCATAAACATAAATTTCGATAAATTGATGATAGATTTTGTTAGTGTTTAAATTGAGTTGACGTGATGAAATTTAATGAAATTAATTTCGAATTGAAAAAGGACGGATTAACTGTCCGTGTCCATCCCATATAAACGGAAGAAGAAAAATTTAGAAAAAAAAAACTATGATCGCTTTGGAATTTTCGGTGCTATTGATAGTTTATAGATCATTATTAACATTGAACGCGTTTGTAAATCAATCGATGTGAAAAAGAAAAGTAACAAGAGCATCCAACGAAGCCACCAATGAAATCAAAGGATTAGTCTCACTCGCTCACTCATTTTCATTATTATTCTTCTGTTTTTTTTTTTTTTTATTTCGTCCGTTTAAATGGCAAGCATATTGGCTTGCATGTAAAATACACCAGTTTAAAAATAGCTTGTGTTGTGTGTGCGCGCTGGTTTGCTGTGTGTTGTTGAGAGCAACGTGCATCGTGCAAATAAACCATTCGATAAATTAATTTGAGCGAAGAGAGTCATAACACATGTACACTCACGCCTCTCGCACAAGGGATCCCGAAACGAACAAAACAAATAAACGGTGCATAAGTGCAAAAAGTGAAGGAGAGCGAGTGAGAGTGTGTGGGAGAGCGAGTGAGTGAGAGCAAACATTTAATTATTTACCAGAGTAAATATTCCGTTACAGCAGAAACGAGCAAAAAAAAAGAGAAAAATGTATTCCATACACATTGAGAGAGCTTAAAGTGCTAAACAGGATTTTAAACATTCATAAAAAACGCATTTATGACTTTGACTACGAAGAAAGAGAAATATGCATGTAATAATTTGAAGATAGAAGGAAAGAGAGTGTGTGTGTTTGTGTCATAAAACGGAAAAATTCAAGGAGATTTCTTGTAATAGATGGAAATTTGATATTTAATTTGATCATTCCCCGGGTATAACGATAGCAAAAAAAAAAACGTATAATAACAACACGATAACCGTATATGAACGAGCCAACGGATTTCCACAGAAATTTCGTCAACCATATATGCAGATGGTAAATTTATAGGCGATCACATTGCTGCCGCTGTCACCAAGACCGCAGATTCGTCTTTTTTTGTGAATGTATCTTTTGAATTTGTCACATCTGATCATCATCGGAGAATGTCTGCAAAAACATCACCACTATTGATGAAAATTAAAAAAGAAGTCAACGAAGAAATCAAGGTAATGAATTTTTAACAATTCGTTATTGTTTTTGTCTCTATGAACATTCATTTTCATCGCCTTCGCCAAACGTTCATTTGAACTGTGCACGAATTGTTGTATGGAATTTTTGTTTGTTTATTGCATTTCATTCCAAATGATTGATTTAATACCGAAATGCGAGATGGCTATGCGGCTTTAATTCTTGTATTTTTTTTATTTTCCTTTTTTCGTGTGTGGGCGTCTCATGGTGGAATGTTTATATCTATGAAACGCAATTGACTCGTAATAATTTAAATGCAATTTTCATGCGAAAAACGGTTCCCGGATCTTTTCGGCATAAACACAAACTCACACCGAAATCAATACAAACAAAAGTCTCTCGAAATCTGATCTGATTGATGGTTTCTACTATCGAATGAACCCCCCCCCTCCCCCGTAATAGATAAATCAAATCGGCTAGAAATAAAAATGTTGTTCTTTTGACTCCGATCATTGGTGTGGCCGGCTCCGGTTAAATGCAAGGAATTAATTTTCTAGTTGAATTTAGGTTGTTTATATCACGATGGCAGAGAGAAGCAATGGCAACAACAACAACAAAAAGAATAATAACAGGAGAACCGTCGATTGATAGATACAGAGAAAGAAAGAGAGAGAGAGAGAGAACGAAACTCCACATTGAGAGTTTGTGTTTATGTTCTGGTGTGTGCAATCTGCATGAATGTGTGAGAATGCGCGCTCGCGCGCTAAAATATACTCACAGTTTAAGTATAAATTACACATAGAATATTTTGAAATCATATCGAATTTCGATGGTTGAATTTCAAATACGCGAACCATTGTGAGCGGACGCGCTCGCCGCACGCTAGCGCTCATTTTGCTCTCTCGCACGCCCGTTCTGTCGTTCGCTCACTCACTCTCTATATCGCGCGCGCGCTAAACCGGCCAAAGTAGCAGAGAGCAGTGGCAGTGGCTGTACATCAAAGAGTAACAGCACCGATATTCAATGGACGCTGCTGCGTATTTCTCCTATATATATATACGTGATTATGTCTCGCGTTTCTTGGTATACAATTTCACGAGTACCATTGCCATTAGCAGTGAATTTTATTCTACTTTTTTTAATTCACTGCTGTTGTTGCCTTCGTCATATTAAATTCACAGCAGAGAAGAAAAAAACGATTGTTGTTGTTGTTGTTTGTTTGCGCATTTCTTGAAATACTTTGGAAAATGTTCGTTTGTTTGATGAGCTGTGCTCTCTTTTGCTATCCTCTTATTTAAATAGAGAGAAAGGTGAACGAGAATTTTTAATTTGATGCTTCGCTTCTCATCGTCGTCGTTTAATACACAATTTATAATGGATATTAAATTTATTCATTTAAGTTGCAAATATGATCGAATTGAAGCCCGCATTTTCTTTTTCTTTTTCTAATGATTAGATGGTCGTCAGTTTATATTGTTTTTCTCAATTTTTTTTATCTTCTTCTCCTTTTCTCATTATTATCCTGGATATTTATTTCTCTTTCTCTCTCTCTCTCTCTCTCTCTCTCTCTCTCTCTCTACGTCGTTCAGTTTATTGCACTACAATTTCATTGAAACGAATGATATCAATTGAATTAACGGTGAGCAGACAAGACGAATGGAGTAATTGGTTATTGAATGAAGTTGATATTTATAGTAAAATCCATTACACGAATATAAAGGAACAGGTAAATATAGTTTTTAGCGTATTATCTCGCGTGTTTTGCAATGAATGGAAGATACGAACGCCATATCCGAAATGTTCTTTTTCTCCATTCAGCTTTTTATGGGGAACAACCGAAGAAAATATCGAATTTGCTCATTTCAGTGTTGGTTCAGGACGTAGAGAGAGAGAGAGAGAGTGAGAGAGAGAGAGAGAACATGTAATCGGATATTGATATTTTAAAAAAAATTGCGAAAATTTTCCATCGTATCGTTGTATTAGTTGTTGTTTCGGTTCGCTTTTTTGCGCATGAGATTTTTACCGCCTTTAGTTCTTAAAGTTCTTGTTACCGTGTTTCTCCTATCAATGAAATCGTAATGAATAATTTGCGGTTATATTTTATGCTTAATCAGATCCTGTTACATTCGGTATAAAGTGGATATGTGTGTTGTTGTTCATTCGGAATAATTCCGATGCGATCGAAAGACAGAACCACAAATTTGCCGGATCGCCTTTTTCTTTCGTTTAGTTGTTTTCTCAGCTTGAAAATAAATGCTCAAAGGCCACTTGAATTTTTGACTTTCTATCGTTGTTGTTGCTCTTGTTTCAAATCGTTTTTTTTTCTGTGCTCTCGCACTCCCCGAACAAACGAATATTTATTTGATCGAGAGAGAGAGAGAGAGAGAGAGAGAGAGAAAAAAATCCTGTTTGTTTGGGCTCGAACCGTTGTTTTCATCTCTGTGTGCCAATTTCCGCCCGATTTGAAACAACAATCAAATTAACAATGATAAATCTTGATTCGGTTTAAACAACATCCACAACAAATGAGAAAAATATAACTTAAGCGATCCATAAAAGCATCTTCTTAATGCCCTTAACTCCTTCGAAACCGATTCGCATCGTCATCTCAAAAATTATTTGAATATAACGAACGAATAACAACATCAACGGCAACAAAACACAATGATAAATACACACAGGCAGCACCAGCACGACCAAAAATGAAATGCAAACAATTTCATGTTCAGTGCTAAGTTTAACAGCGAATAAGTATTGAATTTCAATCTCGGCTTTCTTCATCGGTATCTTTCATTCTCGTTCGCTCGCTCGCTCGCTTGCCATTGCTCTATGTCTCTCTGTCCTCACCGTGGTGTCGCGTTCGCACAATTGCTTTTGGGCGCTCGGTTTATGTGCGTGTGTGTGTGTGTGTGTGTGTGTTGATTTAATAAATGCTGCGAAACACTTCACAAAGTGATACCGACCCATGTCGCCCATCCACCATTCATTCGAATTCGCGGGTCCGTATGCATTTTTATTTGTTCCTTTTGCTTGGCGGTCGTATTTTTTCTTTTCTTTTTTTCCCTTCATTTAAAGAATTCGAAAATCCCAATGATTTTCAAGGTGTTTTCGACACAGGACGTCGTAAAATGTTTCTTCTGTTGCTGATCATTCCTCTCTCTCTCTCTCTCTCTCTCTCTCTCTCTCTCTCTCTCTCTCTC